TGAAATCTGGAGTGTTAACCAGCTCTCCTGTTGAAATATCTACTTAATATTTCTCTCCTTAATTGCTGCCTTTTACTACAGTGGCAATCTTAACTGTATATCACTTTTTCGCACTGGAGTGACAACCAGAAATGCTTGAGAAAAATAATACTCTATTTTCTTACTTCTCTAAGGGGGGCGAAAAGTCGCAGAAAGGGTCTCCCTTTTATACTCCTTGGGTCGCCTTCCTTTTTCACGCTCTACCTTCTATTTACAGGATTTATTTACAGTGTATTTTTCTCAAACTGAATAAAAAGTGAAATTTTCACGCTATAGTTCCACTGCGCTTTGCTGCGCTGAACTGCGGCTCTACTGCGGTCAGACTGCGCCTGGAATCCTTATTGTCCTTCCTCGCCTAAGCTATTTTAATGGTTAATTAGAATTTGTCTGCACCGCATTTGCCGCAGTTCCCTATTTCAAATTCCCCATATTTCCCATTAAGTTCGCTATGACTCGGTCATACTGAATTCAAACCTCGCATTACTATGCGTGCGACTGTGCTGAGACCTTCAGCTGATTTATTCCAATTTTATTTAGTGACATTTAGTTAAAATGAGACTGAAATGATAAATGAGTGAATTATTCAGGTTTAAAACTGAAAGAAAAAGTTGCTAGTAATCAAGAATTACTCAAACGAATGTGTTATAGCTCTCTACTTCATTAGAACATCGTTCCCTAAAATTCCCACCATGGTCCGTCGTAGTTTAGTAGTTTTCGTGAATTTCGTTCATATTCCCTGATTCTCCTTTGTATTATCACATCCTAATCCTCCATATGTATTGTTCGTTGTTATAGTAGGTCGTCCTCGAAGATATCATATTTTTATGTATTTTATTTAGGGCTCTAGACCTCTTGAAGCTGTCTTCCCGCGTGTTTTCAGGTTTCTAACTTCATGTCCTTGTATCTCATTCATTTCTGGATGTTTTCTCACGTTCTTGGTATCATAAATTTTCATTTATTCCCACCTTTCCAATGGTACTAAGGTTGTGTCCTATTTCCCTGTATTCGTTGAGTTAGCAAAGTTTCGCGCGCACATTCGGTAATCACGTGCGTCGTTCCCATAGTTGTTCGTATGCGGGAGCCGTTTTCGTTTAGTTGTTCGGGATTTATGATATGCGCGGGTGTTTATTTCTTTCATATGGGCTTCTGTGATTTATTTCAGATTTTTCCCTCATGATCTAAGGTTGTTTTGCACTTTTCGTGCTTTGTTTTGACCGGGCTCTTCCTTATTTGGACGGAAATTGGTCTTCGCGATCTGCCGAAGTGCGGATCTCGGTTCCGACGGCCGGTTCCCTGCGCATCGCCACCCTCACGTGTCATTACACATGATGCGGATTCCTATATTCCCGTCATGGGTATAACTTCACAACGGCTGGACCGTTTGGGCTGAGAATTTGCATAACTATAGTTTCCTATTTTTCATAATTTCCGTGTAAATTTCGTTGTATGTTTTAATTATGGATCCTACGCAATCATCGTCTTGTCCCTGAGCTCGGACTTTTGATGTCGCTATTCCCGTTATTGGATTTCTCATTAACGCATGATCCTTTTATTATGGAAATTTGGGAGGATTAAGAGTAGATCCTTTCCTTTCTAATGGGCTATCAAGCTTGTCTCGGTCGTTACTAGTTAATCTTCGCGCTTGCTTTTTAGACATTGTCCTCGTTTTGCAGGAGTTTTAGTCATATCTCCGTCGTTTATGGGTAGTTTCCCCTGTAATTACTCTCATTGGTTCCGTTTGGGTGACATCTACATTTCCTATTATAAACACGACTTTGACTTTTGCATTAGTTCCTGAGGAATCTTTGTTCCGTGGTACTTCCATCCTTGCTACATGTGCGGACATGGGAAAGTAGTTTCCGTGGAGGTTCTCTGATTATTTTTATAGTCAAATCTTGGTCGATTGTCCTAATTCTTGGTTTAATATTTGCTATAAATTCCCCCGAGAATTCCGTCTCGTTGATGGTAAGCTTGAAGTATTTTTGTTATTTTTCTTTCTTTCGATTTATCGTGTATAGTCTGTTAGAACGTGCGGATTCGGACGACTCCGGAATGGAATCGGAGACTTAGCATGGAAGGACCTTGGCCTCAGCGACTCAGGCGGAGCGCTGTGCCATTGCTGGTTGTCCTAGGGGTCCCTAATTTCGGATCTAGCAGAGGGAAAGTCTCTTGGGGGGGAATTCCAGTCGATTTCAGACTGAGGTTACAAGTTACTAGGTACATTGTATATAAGGAGGGGTCCGGAATCAAAAGGAACAAGGGTAAGACGAAAGGAGACAAAGGGAGATGGAAAGAGGAGCAACACCGAGGGTCAAGTGTTTGACTCAATGGTGTTTCCCAAAGGAGGAATGAAGGGCCAAGGCCCAAGAAGGAAGGAAGGAGGATGGGAGTCGGGAATGGCTAGCTGACTGAATAGAAAGGAAGCAGCAGCCCAAATAGGAATGAGGGAGAATAGCGGAATTGAAATGGACAATGCAATAGTTGCAAGGTCCGGAGTAAGTCCGGAAAGTCCGAACTCGGAGGTTAAACTCCGGAATATTGGCAAAGGTAATTAAATGGAATGAGCTAACCAATACAATGGGTGTAAGCGGAGGTGGGGTCAAAGTCCGAGGTCGGAGCTAAGACTGGAGGTTCCGGAGACGAGACGTGAACGGGATACCGGAGCGGAGGTCCGGAGTCGGGAGCATAGGTTTTGTGTACTCATCTGGAAAGTGTCGAGGTTGGGGTCGGACCCGGAATGTTCCGGAGTCGGACCGAAGGTGGTGTCCGAGCCGGAGGTGGGATAACCTCTTGGGAGTCGGCAAGGAGAAAGTGATGGAAGGGAAGTAGGACTCCGGAAGTCGGAGTTCGGAGTTCCAGGAGCCCGGAGTGGAGGTCGGGATTGTATGGATATGACATAGTCGTAATAATTCGTAAAAATTCGTAAAATTCGTTAAAATTCAGGTCCTTCTATGTTCTCATATCTACTTGTCGTATGAGGTTTTTGTGATTTATCTGGCATATTTCCATAATGGGTTTCCATAGTGTGGCCGTTATTTCTCCTACAGCGTTGAACCGTTTCTTTTAATGTCTAGTATCATGAAGTCTAGGTCCGACGCTAGGTCGTTCCTCAGTGTGAGCTCTATGTTGGCATCTTGCCGGACATAGGCCATTGTTCTTGGCCTTTCGCCTTCAGCGATGGGCTGTTTCGGTAACACGGTCTGCCACCCTGTGAAGGCAACTGGGATGTGTATGTCGTTTACTTTGTGCCACCAGGGCTCTTGTAGCAGGAGGACGTCAATTGCGGGTTTTCTCCGTTTGGAGATGTTGTGCATGGCGGCCTGGGTGGCCGCGTTGGAGCGGTTAACATTTAGGCTGCACACCGTCAATGTTGCTGGTAGTTTAGGTTGTCGAATCATTGAGGTGGCCCTTCAGGTTGGCTCAACGGTTCGATTTCCATCTGGTGGTTGGTAGGTTTGGGTTTTGGTCTGGGGATTCTGATGGGGGGGATTGATGCTACACCTCCCCTCGCCCTCGCGCTTACCATCTTCACTACTGAGGCTCTTTGGGCCTCTGGGGATTGTTGTTGGCTCAGGATGTTGCTTAGGTCTCGGTCCGATAGACCGAGGTCTGGGGTTTCATCTGGTGCGGACTGAGGGGTAGGTTGTTTTTGCTTACTTTTGCCTTTTCTTTTTACCTGTTTTTCCACTCGGGCTGTGGGCACTTGGGGCTGAGGTGTGGGTACGCGTTTCGGGGATGGGGGGAGTCCCATGCGGCTTCTTCTGGCCTTGCATTCTTTATGTGCGCTATCGTGGTTGCCCTTGCAGTTGATGCAGCAGAGGTCATTGTCCTCCAGGTGGTCTGTGGTTTTGTGATCTTTTGCACCGCACTTCAGGCATCTGGCTTGTTTGCATACGGCAGTGTGATGGGACAGCATGCCGCATTTGCTACATGCATGTACTTGTACGCGATCTTCATATGGAGTGATGGTGCATCTGGAGTTGAATAGGTAGACTGATCTAAGGTTAAGAAAAAGGTCTCTGTCTTTTTTGTTAGAGAAGTCAATAACGATTGAGGCGTGATTCTTAGCGTGGATAGTCTCGTCTGAGCCGAGCCATTTTGGGAGTCTCCAATGCTTCAGGCCGTTGTACTGTGGCACATAGGTGGAAAGTTCCTCGTGTACCATTCCTGAGGAGATCGGGACATCGTTGTTGTGTGTCGGGATTTTGTTGATCTTGACGCGGTAGTGCTCCACATCCGGCAATACGGATGTTACCTCGTTTTGGGTGATTGTGGCCGCTATCTCGTGTCCGAAGGCGATGAGGTCGGAGGCTTTACATGTCGGGGCTGACGTGATTTTGATATTACCCGCTACCGAGTATCCAATGGCCATCACTCTCAGGTAGTGCGGGACGTTTTTCTTCTCTAGGAGATCGTTGATCTTCTCTCGTGTTACGATGCCGCTCGGGCGGTCTTCTAGTTTGATCGGGGGGTTCAGCTGGATGATAAGACATCTCGGGTCAGCTGTTGAGGTGGGTTCAGTTGGGCGTGGTGTTGTGTCATCTTGGTCTTGGTTGTTGACCGTGACGGCTGGGATGGGCATTCGGGGGGGTCTGGCTGCCACGCTCGCCCATGTTGTTTTGGGTGCCGACATGGGAGTGGCTGCAGTCTCCGGGTCTCTGGGCAGGGCGGTGGGCGGTGCGGTGTGGTGTGCGCTTTGTCCAAGTTCTAGTGTATGGACTCTTTGTGTTAGTTCTAAGAGAATGTCGTTTAGCGCGGTGAGGTTATTAGGGTTGGACTCAGCTGCGCCCGGTTTCATGTTCTCGGTGTCCAGCGCCAGTATCTCCTGGAGCCAGCTCTTGAAGTAGTGCAGGTGGTTCCATATGCCTGTATCTCTAATGAGGGCAAGTCCATCTAGTGTGTCCCACATCATTTCAGTGACGTTGCCGATGGTTTGCTGGTCGTCTTCTGTGGGGTCTGTTCTAGGCCAGAGGGTGTCGGTCTCCATTACTACGTCTGCTTGGCTGTGGAGAGAGAGCTGTGTGGCGTTGAGGTTCGACCAATTGTTGAGCGTTTGATGTGTCGGCGTCGGGTGACTGTCGGATGTCCCTCCTGGGTCCGAATTTTGACGTTCGGCCATGGTGGGGGTTGGATCTGTTGGTAGGTGAGTGGTAAGGTGCTAGGGTGTGTGTGTGTGTGCTTCTGTTATGGCCAACGTTAGCCCTCTCTTTTCGAGGTGGTGTCACGTGTGTCTCTATTTTGGGTGGTGGGTGAAGAACAGCTGTGCTTTTTATATAGAAGTTTCTCTCCAAACTTTTCATCGCTTTTCGGAATGTTCCCACCAGAATAGAGTGTTTATAGATTAGATTCCACGTTCTCGATGGACCACCTGCACCACCCCAGAGCACCTGGAGCTAAGGATAAGAACGTCAAAAAGTGATGATAGAAATAATTAAAATACTTTTGTGTGAAGATTTATCTCTTCAACGCCCCAATCAACGGCTCGATACTGGCCATTTTTCCCTGTAGGACAAAACACCCAATTCATACGTATTGCGTGACTATGGGATGTTCATGAAGCTAGAAATTATAGCCAGAAATGCACAACAATACATACCTCAGTGGTTTGGGGTACTCAAAACGGAGGCGATATAGGAAATTGGATATCATCCTTGCATATTTATGCTTCCCAGTCGATTTCCACATTGGCACCCAAGAATATAGCACCTGCTCCACTCGCCCGATATCCCCAGATGAGACTGCTGCCTTGAAGATTGTACAATCCATGAGGTCACGAAGATACAATTTCGAGTTTGCGTTGACCTGATCAGCATTCGCAGTTAACCTTTCCCGGTCAAATGCAGGCCCAGGCAAGAACTGTTCCACCATTTCATGGGAAATCGCGACAATATCTTCCCATTTTGGTTTAGACTTCACCCAGTCAGCAAGGGTTTCCCATCTTGGGTCTTTAGCCTTAACAGCAAGATGCCAGCAGTCCAGTACAAGCCCCCAGCTAGTATGAGTCAGTGAAGACTCGAGGCGGTGAAGGTCTGGCATAGAACTCGAGGAGAATTTTCCCTTTTCTTTTGGGCATAGTAGTGTGAGCCAGCGGAGAGCATCTGTATGTTTGACACCAGTATGATTGGTCTTCTTTCGATTTTCCTTCTCTTTCTCAGGATGTAGATGGGCCAAAGGGGAAAACCATGCTCTATATAGCCCTTCGAGCCCTGCCATCCAAACATGGAAGAGACCTGGAATGTGAATAAGATACTGCATTCGGAGTCCAGGTATCTCTTCGGCAGCACAATGCTCACGAGCCGACTCGAGTTTTTCAAAGGCTCCAAGGTCTCCATGCACTAGCTGGACGTAATTGTACAGGTCTGCCGCTTGATAGCCAGCCTGACGGTGTAAGTCCTCTATAGCCCTAATATTGTCATCTATTGTCGATTGCTGTAGATGCATTGCCCGGGCAGGGAGAATTTCACTCTTGATCACTGGGACTTGCATGACAGGGGCTAAGTGGCCAAGATTCCTTTTGAATTTGGCAAAATCAGGAGCAAGTTCAACAAGGATTCGACGAAAGTAGTATGCATATGCTTCCCGCATATGCTTTGCAGTTCCCAGAGGTGGAAGGTAGTCCAAATAGGTCCTCTCTCAAACAGGAACTGATCGGTCTCGATGTGGATTACGAAGATCACAGTGCCAAAGGTGGTCCGATACACGAAGAGATTCAGGGTCAACATGAGCAAGAGGGATGAAGATACCAGAGGTGGCATTGAGCATGTAGCCTTGTCGTTGTATAGTTGGCTGAGAAGTAGAGATGTTGACATCGAAATTATCATATGCAAGCATGACACGGGAAAGTTTTCCATCGCCCTTGAGCCTCTTTAGTTGGCATGTATGATCTTGAGATAGCGAGCCAATCATATTCAGTATGCTTGAATAAGAGAAACAGATACCGGCATGTGCAAGAGCATCGATGACTTTTGATGGTGTCCTTTTTGCATAAAGACAAATACTGAGAAGTGCTTGCGTTCCAGAGCATTTCTGGTTTCGATTCTGAATAAGGATTGAAATTATGGTGACACGTTTCTTATATATATATATATATAAATTTAGGTGAATATGATAAGACTGTAATTCTTACAATGAGTAGGAGTGCAACCTGCCGCTTCTCACTGCGGGATCGGCTCCTTTGAGATGAAGGTGGGAAGCCACTAGAATCTAACCAGCAATCATCGTCGTCATTATTTTCGTTTTCCAAATCGTCAATGTCCTCCCATTCATCCAGTTCAACAATTTCCTCGGGGGTAAATGTCGCCGAAAGGAGACAGCCAATAAAATGCCACAAAGTAGGAGCTTTATGGGAGAATTTCTTTGCTGTCTGCTGAACAGACAAAAATTTAACTTCCTTGTGTGTCATAGATGAAGCTGAGAAATGGAAGCCAGAGGCTATGTCTGTTAGGCAATCGAGCTCATTCGTGAGTTGTTGGCGAGTGTAAAGGAGCACTGAAGTGAGAAACAGGGTAGGATCCCGTGAGTAGAGCATTGAGAGACACTTTTGGAGGCTTTCCCTTTGAATAATGAGACCAACAAGCATAGGGAGAGATCCCTTGATTTTATGGAGATTTGTGGGGTTGTGACGCAGATCATCGCTAAGGCAAGCATCGAGAAATTCATACAATGTCAGACCATTTGCTTCGAAGGAGTTAAGCACAGCCTCTATACGCGCTCTCTTCGGCACTTGAAAGGGTGAAGGAAGTGGGGACTGGTGGACGTTCATTGTATCGGACAGTGAGATCAGTTGCACAATAATATTCTTGTTGAGTATTGTTTGTTCAATTCAATATGCACAAATAACAGTATACAGCTGTCGTGGGAAAATGTTTTCCACCAGCCGTTCTGACAAGATAAACAAGCATAAACAGAACGGCTGGGTACGAGCCTGTACTAACTCGCGCCGCTGTCGAAGAGAGGGAACACATCAGAAGCCATGTCTACGGACATCACCTCTATGAATGTCGCGTCCCTGAAGGCGCTCTGCAAATTGCGAGGAATCACAGGTTATTCGAAACTGACTCGCCAGGCTCTCCTGGAGAAGCTTGGCGTCTCTCAACCCAAGTCCGCTTTCCCAACAGCAAGTCAATCCTCCCACAAGAGGTTGGGTTTGCATTTTGCTCTTTGAAGCTTATTCGTCTCATGACTGAATGACATGCTATCAGCGCTTCTGCTTGTGCACCAGAGGCGCACCAACCCACGCCACCCAGTGCGAGAATCGTTACTGGTTTTGTAAGTGAGGCTTTTCAGTCCATGGCTCTTTTACCCTGATAGGGGGCATGAAACTTCAGGACGACGTGACAGAACATGTTTCGGACGTGACAACTTGTAGCTCAGTTTCAGTAGCTCAGAGTGGATGCGGGCATGTCCAAGACCAGGGATCCATTGTTCCTGTGATGTATCCCGAGTCTCGCGGAGCTGTTGGCACATTTCCATCCGTTCCGCTTGTCCTCCCTGACGATAACTCGGAGCATCCATGCGACAGGAGACGAGACGTTTCTAATTTTGCCCAGCCCAAGGTCTCTTTGGTGTCTACACATGACTCTATTTATAGTATACAGTCTCAACCAACCATCTCCAACGCGGAAGATTCCTGCCAACGGCGAAAACGAGGGCCAGAGGACGCGATGGTCGCGTCGATATCATCCAAAAAGCCAAGGGAAGCAACAGAGGATCTGTGTGCGAACCAATTGGAACTGGATCCCGTTACACGCCGCCCAAGTTCGCCAGTAACGACTACTGGCGTGGAACACTCACCTACTGACGTCAATGGAACCATACCCGGATATGCTACACCGAAAATCGTTCTAGATTCCAGTGTCATCTCGAACACTGTTTCAACTCCTAATATGAACTCGAGCTTCAGCGGAACTGATTCTTCTATTGGGGCCAAAAAAGGCCCGCTTCTGCTAGTTTCAAAACCATTCGTCCGTCACTATCCAAGCCCGCTAAAACTTCCCCCTGCAAAACCTACCAGCTTTGCTCCCCAGCGAAAAATTCCCATAGCTTTTCCTGATGCGCCGTACCCTCTTTACCATCTTGATTTCCCGCCGGCATCTGAGCCTCCCTTGCCGAAGAGCATCTCTGTGCCTCCACGTATCTCCCAACGCCATATGACTGCCCAGCTCGCTGTCATCCTAATGGGGCTTTCGGACTCTGAGCGGGGTATTTGCATTTTGGTGTCGAAGGCCTGGAGATATGCAGGTATTGAAAATCTATTTCCACCCGCTGATAATATCCTACTTGCTCCGCAAAGTGTACCTGTCGGCTTTATCGATACTCCAACTTCACTATGCGGGTGACCGACTGGAGGAATACGTTAAGTCTTTCAGGACATCGCTTTCCCAACTAAATCTCTGGCCGTATCTTCGCTACCGACAAGCTGAACAAGCCAGCCGCCGAAAGACTTTCAACGAATCCTTCTTGGGAAATCAGTTCCTTGCTGGCCACTTACCTATTGACTGTCGCCTGTGGTGCAGTCCGAACAACGAGAGGCAGATAGTTGTTGCAATAAGGTATCATCCAGTTTCGCCAACGTCGGTGAACCAATAGTTTGTCTCGCGTGATAGGTTTCTCGAAGCTCGTGTCTGGCTGTCCTCAAAAATTAATGATCAACGCGTCGTGCGCTGGGCGTCCTCCAGCATTATTGATGCTCAACCTCACGTGGCAGAGACTGAGACCTCGAACCCCGAAATTTGGAAGATTTATGTGGAACACTCAACGACTGGACACACAACCCAGGAGGTGTTCTACGTTTTTGCTGAAACTGGGGAAGCCATCGGTCACCCTCCTGATGATAGATTCGCTTCGCGGCCAGAACCGGAGGCGGCTGGTGCGGGTCTTGGTACAATGCTTCGTTTTGATTGGCGTAACTATCTGTCTTTGGAAGCGTCAATCGGGCGGCGATCACTTATGGATATGATTCGTTGGACGAATATTGAAGATTACGAACATGGGATTAGTAGGCATTGGCTACGTCGAATGGCGAAAAGGGAATTGCCTGGAACATACACGTTGAATGAGGCACTTTTGAAGGTTGCCAGGCGCTACATACTCGCAAACGTTGCCGGAAACAGGCATGTCTATTCCCGCTGATGGTTTACATCCTTCACGTCCATTCTTGTTTCTATAGCCTCAGTGGTTCATTTCAAACCTCTATCGAAATGGCATGTGAATCCAATGGACAGCATTGCAACATTCCTTCCGCGTTATCAGCAATTACGATCCCATCGCTTTTTGTCCCTGAGTGAGTTGTTTCTTTGCACTCGACTCGTGATTGAACCCTGACAACGTGCACAGGCATCATTATGTTGAGTCGGTCCACTTGATGAATTCTCGCGGAATACCTCTCCATCCTGCAATCGCAGTAGTGCAGACACCTGCAAGGGAATACTACATTCTACGCGATACTGGTCAGGAAATTGGTTGTGAAGAGGCTGGAGGCGTGTACAAGTGCTGGTTAGACGTCATTCGGTGTCAAGAGGATGGTGTGAGCACATGAGTGAGTTGTGGCATGTGGATGAGGTTGGGAACATAGTCCGCCGCTCGAAGAACCTGATGATTGCGATACGAAGACTTGATGTACAGAAGTGAAGATATTGAACGAACGAGAAAAAAATTGAAATGGTTACGATCAAACCAGTGAGGTAAGAGCAGCAGATCCCGTCTGATTATGTATCATTGTATGTATTGAAACCCGTTTTCCCCATTATATCACCCCCGTGATGATGTTTCCTAGAGATGCGTTCATCCTGGTGCGAGGTTCTTCGATTCGGTTGCCTCCCGTCAGATATTGGGAGGAAGATCTGATGCTTGGTTTGCAATAGATAGTCCTTCGTTGTACGATGAAAAAAGCAAACAAAAAAAAAGCTGGTCCAAAAAGCGACTGCGAAGGAATCGATGGCTATGAGACAACTGAAAATGTAAAGCATGAGAATGAGACAAACTTACGGAGTATGCCAGAAGCTAATGTTATGGCGGGATCTCTCCGTGTGTGAGGGTGTGATCCTCACGCAGTTCCCCTTCTAACGTTTTGCGGTCACCACGTTCCCAGTCAATTTACGCCGCCGTTTTAATTCTTCCCGAACCAGCCTCAATGCTTGCCGTGCCACCTCCCTATCATGCTCATATGTAAGCAATTGGACTGCCTCGTCTGCCTCAAACCAACAACTGCGAAACGAGGATTCGGACGGCATGAGGGTACCTGGTTGGAATTCACCCGTGACTTCGGAAATGAACCAATGAATGAGCTTGACGTTTCCTGGGGCCACGTTACGGATCGTGATGGCGAAAGGCTCAATGCAATCATGTACAGGTCGTCCGGCAGGGTTGTCCTGTAGTTGCGGGTAGGGTCGTGTGAGCAAAAATGAAGGCAAATAGGCGCCGGAGGGAAGAAAGAAAAAGGGGATGATGAATATGGGGTTGTGGGAATCATTGGTAATTATGACTAGCTTACTTTGATGTCTTTGCCTGGGACCGGCGCTCTCGTGGTGAGAGTGACGGGAACTGGTTTACACGGATAACCAGTCTCTTCGTATGTTTCCCGCATGGCGGTGGTAAGCAATGAGTCCTCAAACAGATCCTTCCGACCCTTGGACAATAAATATTCTTTTTTGCGCAAGTGATGAATAAGGCAAATCTGCAACGGATCACCAGGTTCTTCGTCATCACTGCTCACGTCCAAGACGGTGGAAGTGTTGAGATTATTCGGGGATGTTCTTAAAGACCATAACCGTGTGAGGCCATTCACTGTGGTGGATGGTCTCGTCGACGAAGGCCCCGCCGGCAGTTTGAAGAGGATAGAACCAGCGCAAACGAGAAATTCAGGGGAGAGGAGGAGCGTGTAAGGGAACTTGGAGGCACTCCCGACGCTTGCGCTGTAGCTGCTAGCAGTGGAAGCTGCTGAGCTGTGTGGAGGTTGGTCCGACATTCGCGTCAATCTCCACGTTGACTGTTTTTGGTGTTAAGATAGGGAGCTCTCAGGAAAAGGTGTGAGACGGGAGAGGGCGCAGCGAGAGCACTCGTTGCTGAGGAAGGTGGGGAAACCCTTCTTGTGAAAGGTTAAAGGGAGCCGCTGATGCAATGCAATGTGGCCGAATGTGGGGCAAGGCGCCCGATGAGGAAAATGAATACAAAGTATTCCCCGGTGAAAACAGGTGTAAACGGAGTCACTCGGCGAAATCATTTTTGCTTCTTTCGTCGCTTGGCGTCACCCAAGCTCTGGAGCTATTTACTCATTGGCCGATGGTACATGACATTTAGGGCATTACGGATAAACAGATGTGAAAAACAGTCAAAATGCAGATTTTTACTGCCACCAGACCGCATGCTACGACTCTTAGCAAGGGGAACGCAAGATGGTTAGCGAAGGACCCACGCTAAACGGACTATCCCCTATACTTTAGCTTCCCAACTTACGCCACATCCGCAGCCACTATCGGCTAGTGGGTTGTCGATCACGCGGAAACTAGACCCAATGAGCTCTGTTGCAAAGTCCAAAGTAGCACCATTGAGTAACCCTAGCGATACGGGGTCAATGAGCACATTCGAAGGTGCGATCATTGGTGATAGAAAATGGCTGCGCATAGATGAGTGTCAAGCGCATGAGTACCAAACCGACAAGTTCTAAGAGCCGAACAACTCACTAATCCCCTTCACCTTCTGAAAGGTAAGTGAGGTTCATCTTATATTGATAACCGTGGCAACCCCCTGAATCGACTGCCACACGAAGCGCGACGCTCGGATCATTATCGCGTCGTGAAATGGATCTTAATTGCTGCAGTCACACCGGTTCGAGAGGGTCACATATGATTAAAATAAAAATCCAAGTCATACCTCTGCAGCTCTAGGGGATATTCTGAATCGTATTTCGGATGGTTCTATTGGCTCGTCTACTTCTTCAAGAGCAGCAGCCGATGGACACCTAACCAGTATGGTATCGTTCGCAGAAGCCCGCATCCCTGGAGGCGGAGTCTCAGTAGAGGGCTCATTTTCACTATATAGTGCAGTAGCATAAAGGCGAGAGGAAGAAAACCCTCGAATAGGGGGGACCTCTGAGCGAGGTGTGATAGCAAGTAATGTAGGGGTCATCGTCCCGCATGGTGGATGTGACGAAGACGGTCCATGACGGGCATCGCGAAAAACCAGCCTCCGGGCTAATCTCACAGAAGATGGCCGAAGTATCTGGATGTGCCGTGTGTTCCAGTGGATCATTCGCCGGCGTCGTTTTGCGAGGGTTGGTCACCGTTTCCCGATTTGCAGTTTAGAACATGTGACCGACCTGCTCTTGTCAGCGATTTAAATATTTCTATTCCATTGCGTTGCGAGTCAACGGAACCCACCTCGCCAACGAGCTCACGAGGGAAGGGCTAGTGTTACTTAAAACCATTACTTGCTTCTTGGATGGGCGCTACCGAACAGCCGAAGTGAGGTTTTCTGCATTGCTCTTGACAAAACGAACTGAAGGTTGAGTGTGCGCCGGGCGTGCTTTGGTAAAGGGATGATCTTACCTGCCACCATTGTGGGGTGAATTTAGGTCCATACCAGAAAGGAGTCACTGAAACTCATTATCGGTTGCATGAGGAGAGTGGACGTATGTGTGCATTTAACTATATGTTCTCCGTACGTCGTTCTAACGAGCTGCGGGCGAAGCGAGCACGTCTACTCACAATCGACATCCCGGACCAGTGAGTAAAGCTCGAAAGACCTTTTCTCTAAGAGAAAATGTCTTCTGGCACTCGGGACTGGATGACGCGCCTCCGAACTTTGTCACGCCCTGTTTGATTCCCCTCCTCAAACGATCCTTAACGCGGCTCGTCGAGCAGAAGAAAATAACCAGGGCTGTACTATGTCGAGAGGAAGTATGTCACTACGTATCTGAGAATAGTGCGTACCACACATCTTCCTGTATCGGTTTCATGTTCTGACTCGAACATTCACATAGTTGATCGATTCTGGGGATGTGGATATCGGAATTTCATGATGGCTTGTAGTGCTTTGGCAGTGCAGGAAGAACAGCCAACATACATGTCACTACTTCATGACGCGAATTGTAGGATGGAAGATCGGCATGTTTCTGCGGGGGAATCTGTGTCAAGACCTCAGGAGGGTCTTAAGGGTATGGGTATCCGTGGACTTCAAGCTTGGATCGAGTATTCTTGGGAGGAAGGTATGTTTAGCACTGCGAGAATGCAATCTACGAGTCCCATGATGCCTTTGGTAAGGATATGATCAGGAAGGCGCGGATGATAAGCACATGAAGCGAGAGCTTCTTGGGACTAAGAAATGGATCGGAGCTACAGGTGGGCGCTTGTGGACGAGACGACGAAAGATTTGTTGTTGAATGATTTCCACAGATATTCACGCTGCTTTCACAGCGTGCGGGATACCGTATGTGAATTCATATCTTTATCTTGCTCCCATCCGACTTGTGGCCGCGTAGGACATACCTCGTAGACTTCATCAGACCTAACTCATTAAAATCAAGACAGAAGTCAAACAATGAAGGCTCTCCCCTGTCCGCAACCAACTCGCTCATAAAGTGGATAACGCAGTATTTTGACGACACTTCAACCAGTGGAGCAGGCGACAGGACATCACCAGTGAATGCTTTTGGGAAATTGATGAGCGGAGGTGTTCTTATCACAAAGAAAATGCCTATCTTTTTACAGGCGAGTTTTTCGTTCCAGGAAAGATGTTCGTCAGTTCTGATATTAATGTCAGCATAAAGGACATTCGCGAACCGTCGTTGGTTATGAAAAAACTATATCGGGCGAAACGAATCTGTTGATATTCGACCCTTCCGAGTCTGTCGGTGCTAAGCTTCGTGCTGCCGCCCTCGCCCTATGGAAAAGTTACAAGGGGAATCCAAACCACGTCTCACCAAAACCGACAGCAACCGTGCCAACGAAACCATCTCATGCGCCTATCGTTATAGTTCCCAATTCTGACAATGAACCCCCCGATGCTGCAAGTGATGATGACGTTGTTCAAGTGTTGGAAGACGAGGTGAACACGCCTACTAAAATTGTGAAGCGTCGTTCCCCGTCAGTGGTGCAGAAATTCGTCAACACGTACAAGTACGCCACAAAGAGCAAGAAACTTCTTAGCTCGCCCACAAGGTTACCTCCATTATTGGATAGGAGAAACGCAAAGAAGCGGAGTGTCCGTACCCCCCCGTCGTCCTCTGATTCTTCGGAGGCAGAGGCAGTGCCCTCAAGAGTCACTGTGGGCAATAAACGCGTACGAGGCGGAAAGGGCCACGATGACGATGACGATGACGACGAGATTCAGGAAATAGACCAGCTAGACGAGGGCCATGAGATGGTTCTGTCCGTTAGTGATGAGGCCACCATCTCCAAGGATACGCGCCCCACTACTTGGGAAGGACCTGCGTCTCCTCCCCCAACCCATCCCGGCCCTCAAACACGATCCATGATGTCAGGCGTGAAGGATAAGATATCATATTTCAACTCAAAAGGCGCTAGTGCTGAAGAAGGCAGTGTTGATCCGATGACGTTGTCTGACGGGCTAGAACCTGCGAAGGTTTTAAAGGACTTCCGCGTCAGTCGAAAGGACCTCCTGTATGTCGCGTTGCTTTTCTTCCCTCCCCCCCCTTTTGGGCCTTGGGGGACCCCTAATCCTTGAATGGGTGGGTGGCTAACGAATTTTGTCTCCTGCTTACAGTAAATTTGATCAGTACCAAATCTTGTGTTTCCCGCTTTGGGCACCTCTAACTGCTGTACAGCAAGAAGATATGAAGGAGGTATCGTCTAACCCCGTTCAGGCCTCTTAAGTCGGCATTCTCTTAATCTGATAGCTCTCCTCCCCCCAAACTGGGGGACGACCAAGCCAGGATCGGAACGCCTATCTTCGTAAATGACCATATCCATTCTTTTTTCACCTTGAATGCGGTTCATTTCATTGATTCATTTTTGTTTACCAATGATAGGTTCCCTTAAGTGGGATTCCAACACGTTGCAGAGCGGATTGTATATTCAGAAGCTTGTATATTCCGTGTACCGTAATCAGCAACTTCTAATTACAAGCAAATTTAGTGCAAATCCGTCAACTTCCTTGTAAGCTTTGCTCAGCTGGGGAGCCGTCAGAGATCGCATAGGACTGCTGTACAGCTGGAAATGAAGGTGAAGATGCGAGGCTTACCATGCACAGCTCCCTGTGGACGTTTTCCACCTGAACGCTTTTGTACCATCCATTTTATCGAGCATTGAGTCAGAAGGTCAGGAGGATGGAAGACTGGTTACCTCGAAGCGTCCTTTCTGCCAGTTACAGCCGTAGTTGCGGTGTTTTAGCCCCACATTTTGGGGGTTATGCCTCGAGGCTGGCCGATTTCAGAGGTGGGGGGTTCGAGATAGTACGTACTCGCCAGCGTTTGATGCGGCTGGAGGAAGGATGTTAATATCTAGATGTGAACCTCCCATACACTTGCAATCGTACGTTTGTCAGATACCAAATGACCGGGAAGGCGGTGCCTTCGGTGATTGATCATATGTATATACTCGCGTCGGGATTTGATCCCTACTCGGGAGATGGAGACACGAGTTAGATTAATCACCCGCGTTCGTCCGGTGTACGTAATGAGCTCACACCACTTGGGAACGTGTCCGTAGTGAAGGATTTGTTCATCTGAAAAAAGCTAACGCGCTGCCCAGTGCTGGTTGGTGGCAACAACATCTGTCCGTAAAATCTCCGATCGGTGGATATCGGGGCGTCCGCGCGGATAAGTCACAGACTGGGATATGTGATATCCGAGGGGATCACGCAGGAAGAGTTCACGATGCACGAGGACGATTGATCTTAATGAATGAATTGGAAACGAGGCTAAGTGGGGAAGGTGAGAGGTCTAGGTGTGCAAGGTGTGTAGAACCTTCAACTTCGCGATCACTGCCCTTGCACTCTTGATGGAAGCCTCTGTTTCACAGAGAACGAGACACAACCAACGGTTGAGGGGTGGGAAGCGTGTCAAGTGTGCGTATCTGGCGCAACCAGCACAACCGGTGTGATAGGACTTGTACTTTTTACTACCCGAAACGTCGATTTGGTAACAAAGAGCTATGACATGGGGAAATGAGATTTGCTTTCCGCGCTTTTCTGATCGGTCATCATCCGTGGATACCATGCTAAGGTGTGGATGGACACAGGGGAAATGCGAGCAGTGCGAGTGAGCAGTAGGCAGGCGTAAGCAACTCGAAGGTTGACCGGAATGGCTAGTCAAGCCATGGCCTCGTCAATCATGGGGAGTTCCGCCAGAGCCGACGAGTAGATTAGGTAAGATGATCCTGCGGATGATACGAGGTTTTAGAAGCGAGCTTCAGAAATGCCCCACTCGGTTTGATGGTTGCCATACACTGTGAGGGGAATGACAGGGGCGATCCGTTGCTACTTTGCACGCCCTGGATGCGAGGCAAGGACGAATAAGATTGAAAAGATAGACCAACAAAATGCACGCGCGCGCAAGTAACGGACAGAGACAACACAACCAAAAAGTAAAGGAAAGAAAATTCCCAGCAACAATAGGGTCCACTAATGTGGTAGAAATGGACCTGGGAGCGGTCGAAGAACAACAATCATCCCTGGGGGCAAAGTTGATGTTCAAGCGCAAGAGCCTCTTGTTCAAGCGTTGCCATAGGAATTTTTTTGTCCAACCCTCGGTACAAACAAATACCCACTACTCTCCGGCTGTGTTTTCTCCCCTCTCCCCTCTCCATTCCTCTTCTTCCTTCTTCGCCTCTTCACATCTCGGGACCGCGGTCACCACACTCACAAGACCGCTCGGCGTTATCATCCATCTCGTATCTTTTATTCTATATTGGCTAACTCTTCTCCTCCTCTCCGTCTTTCGCTTCTTTGAGCAGTTCAATCTTGCTCCGGTCAATTTCCTCTTCGCCCTTCCCATAAGCAACTTCCCCTTGCCACGAATAGCTCTCGCTGGTCGACGACATTCGCAGCCTTTTATAAGACCTCTTTACTCTCAGATGAACTATTCCTCTTCCAACCCTGGGCCCATTGTAACCCCAACGGAGGGCGCATCCCTTGGCGTCTCTCCGACTCCTAACCGGAAGCCTTCAGTTCCCAGCTTGCGCATTGTGATCGACACACCGAACAGAGATGGCTTTAATAATACTGACTCCGGGTATATGACGGCTCTCTCACCACTCCAGACGCTCGAGAGCCAGACCCAATCCTCGCATCCAAGATCGACTGCATGTGTCCCCGTCCGGTCCGCCTCCGTACCCTTACCAATCTCCAATCCTATCTTTCAAAATCCCGAGCCATTTAGACCATCGCCGACTGGCTCGCCACCCACGAGTGCCCCGTTTGCTGTTGTGCCTGAGAGACCCCCTCTGCCCTTTGGAAAGAAAAATGTGAAGAAGCTCAGTCTCTCATCAGCCGCTGATGCTGGAAGACCGCAATTGAGCCCCGCACTTTCGACATTCTCCCTGCACTCCATTGCACCAAACAATGTCCCTGTGTCCCTCCCGTCATCGCCACACTACTCTGCTCCATCATTCAGCTTAGTGGGTGCCACTACCGCAGCGCAATCTTCTCATATAACATCTGCCATCCCCACCCGTCGAAGACCATCTGTCATGTCGCTTCCAGCGGGATCTTCCTCCAACCTCCGTCGGCGAGAGATTGAGGACGATGGCGAGGGAAATCCGTACGAGGACGGTCCGATTGAGATCTTGCCCGGTATCTGGCTCGGTGCCGAAGAGAATGCTGTCGCGTGGGATGTTCTTTCCGGGAACAAGATTGGTGCTATCCTGAACGTCGCCAAAGAGGTCATGTTGCCGCTCGACACGGAAACTCCTTCGAGGACGGATGGGAATGTAAAGTATTTCAACGCGGACCCATCGTGTGGGAGACCGGAGATTGCTTATTTGCACCTGATGTGGTCACACGGGCAGTCAGATCTAGTAAAGGATGGGTTTCCTGAGGGTCTCGGATTTGTTGACCAGTCGCTGTCCAGGGGAACAGGTGTTCTGATACAGTGGGCGACTCCTTTTTATAGCCGTTTTCTTTTTGACTGATTTGGGTCTTTCACCCCAGTTGTCAGTGCGGGATATCGCGCTCTGCCACTGTAGCGATTGCATACGTCATGCGAGCAGCCTATGCGCCTGATGCCCCTCCACATCTCGTGGCGCTGAAGAGGGACGGGGTGCAAGGCTCATACCAGTTCGTAAAGGCGAAGAGCAGTCTTGTAGGGCCAAATATGTCGTAAGTTTTCCCTCGAGGTGTATCCATGCTGGTCCCCCAACTTTCCGTTAGGCTTATGTACGAGCTTTTGGAATACCAGCGGAGTTTAGAATCCCCTTCAACTGAGAGCCCTCAACAGTCAGGTGAAGAGGAATGGCTAAAAAAACGACAAGCAATGGACGAAGAGGAGGACGTCGAGTCCCAAAGCAATTCCCCCAGTCTGCAAATGGGGATCGAGAGAGCCGAGGCGCAGGAACTCGACCAGCGGATGATCATTCGTCGGAATCAATCACGCACGTCACTTGCTTCAACGACAATGTCCTCCGATGCAGGCGGATGGAGAAGTCGTTATGGTTCTTCGTTCGGTCCTAGTGCTTCGAGAAGTCGAGCACTCAGTGTGACGAGTAGTCGAAGCAGTGTCTTCAGTGCGGACTCGCTCATTGAAGTGGATGAAGAGAACGAAGACGTCATAATGAATGACCCGTCCGAGTCTGGCTCGCCATCTCGCAAGGCTAGTGAAGAGATGGATCCGGATGAATTCGGCAGCAACGTGTTGACGTTTCCATCGGGAAGGTTACAACAACGAGACGCCTTTGTTTTGCCAACTGTTGTGCCCGGAAAGAGGAAAAGTGTGGCTTCATTGGGTTCAGCAAGTGTCGGACGAGGCAGCTTCGCGAAACACCGACCATCATTAGATTCTTTAAGTGTTGCTTCCACTTCGATCGCAACATCGACGTCGACCACTTCGTCCACTGCTGTTTCCATATCTGCTTCTGCCTCGTCGTCAAGGCGAACCAGCGATGCATCGATACCTTCTTCTGGTTCCGAAAAACTTTCCTTCCATTCCCTATCCTCCGTATCAGCCGGCAGATTCCCGTTTTACCCCAGCATAACGATGCCCTTTCCCCGTCGTCGATCGGATTCCCCATCGCGTGGCCCTCCGCCCGTGCGGAGAAGGAATGGGGGTTCGTCCCCTGCTGTGTTGGACCCAGTTCCGCCTTCTCCAAGTACCAGTGAAGCGAAGGAGAGCGAATTCTTTCCTAGAGAGAAACGGAAGTCGCGTCCTAGCCTGAAACTCCCGTTGATGGCGGAGAAGCCTATTGCGGGGGTATCGGTCTATCAGGATAGTGACAATAGCAGCACTACCCCAGAATCCGTTGCCAGCACGAAAGACTCCATCACGACGGCGGCAACGACTGCTACGATTGCAACCTCCAGGACCAAAGCTTCTCGAACGTCGTCGTTCTCGAGTACTGGTTCGGGGCAGTCGGGTTCAAGCGCGCGGAACAGGGGGCCAAGGAAACAAGTGCCTCCTACTTACCCAGCACGAACCACCTCGATGAGTCTCATCGAGGCAATCACTACACCCCAGCAAACCTTATTTATTTTCCCTGCCTCGCCTCCACGTTCACGCGTCATTTCCTGCTCAGGGGGCTCAAGACCCATCCCTGTCCCCTCGACTCCTTCCACAGTGTTACTCACGACGAATATGAACCCACAGGCCCCTGTGGGCTCACTGACCTCATCAGATCTTGGCGCAGGCTCGCGTCCGTCATCGCTTTCATCAGAAGCATCTTCCGCTACGCACACTACTGCATCAGGCGGTGCAGGTGGTGTTATTGGTGGACGGCGTAAACGACTGAGTGCGATGTTATCCGGTTTTGCACCTTCTTTTTCTGCGCTACGGTCTTTTCAGAATGGCACGGGGAAGAGAGGAGAGTGGAGTGGAGCGGGACCGAGTACGCCCACTACTGCCACTGCTCACGTGGAAGCCAGAGGATGGGTTATGAGTGGAGCTAAGCAATCCAGCAATGCTAATGGTGCTTCGGCGCCGCTCTCTCCCCTTGCTACTGCTCGTCCTTTTTAGGTGAATGAAAAGATTGTTGTTTATGGAATCCATGTCGTGAGATTATGACAGGTCTCCCCCCGACCCTCTCTCTCTTTGGACGGACAAATACAAATTAGGTTGCGTTGAATATGGATCGGACATATGTTTTATCATTTCGACTTCTTGATGCCGCGGCCGCTTACTTTTCGATTCAAAGCCGTCGGCGTTAGTTCCTTTTCTCCCCCCCTCCCCACGGTAAAAAAAATCAACAAAAAACGGTTTTTTAAATTGCTCGCTTTACAACGCTGCTCATCCTTCATCCTTTGCGCGCTCTCTTGCAATCTTTGCGATCATTTCACCTCATCGCCTCTTCTCTTTGTGCTTGCTGCATCCCCTCCCGCTCACCGCAAACACTTGCTTTCAATGCTTTCATTCGCATTTCTAATTGCACTCTTTGCTGCTCAATTCTGCCACCAATATCCGCTTGGACTGGGTCTCTTTTCCCCCTTTTAATTTCCATTCTTCGTTTCGGGTTCTTTTTTTCCGTTAGCCTGTTGTGTTATCACATGGATGGTTTTTTTCTCTGGAATTAAAATGCGCGACGCAAACATTGGAAACGCATCAAATAGTCGAGTGTTCGACATCAGATTCACTTCGGACGGGGGAGTACGTGTGTGGGTTTTGCACGAGGTGTATCTTCCTGACGCACAGGTCGTGAACTCCTCTTCCCCGAGTATCTCTTATGTTATTTGAGGCAGAAGCCAGTGTGCCAGGATGCTGGCACAAGTCGGTGAGCGATTTATTGGTATCCTGATGGCGCTGGGTGGAGGGAAGACAGATCGCTAGAATAAAGATATAATTATGCAACTATATTTCTTGGCGAAAACCAACCAGCCAGTGCCGCTCAAACTCAGCGGCCAAGAAGCCTGAAACTAGAGAGACAGGCGTATGGTTTCTGAAGTGCCCGAATTTGTGCATTGAGAACTCAGATCCCAGCAAGTACTAGTGCTCGCGGCCAATTTGGGGACAAGATGACTCCAGTCTTAAGAATCATCACAGCCACAATCTACTTTGCAGAATCCAGGAATGCAAGGGTGCATATGGGTTATCACGGTTCCAACTGCATTAGCATTACATGTTTCAAGTGTTACAATGGTCGATATCAACAGGGTAGAAAAGATAAAAGTCCCATGAATGGAATAGATGAAAGTGGCCTCGCAAGTACTGTTCATTCAGTGTGAACTGCACATTGTCTTCCACATATCCTTCAGATCAATTTCCAGCGCAAATTGAGACACCGCTGTCATCAAAGCCTTAGTGGGCATTTTTTTCCTAAACGCTTTCCGGTCCTCATCCTTTGGGATGACAAATACAAGCTTCCATTGCCACATCTCTCGGTGTTCATTCTTCAGCGCGTCCCAAAGTTGTTTAATGAATCCCATCTTGACTGAATGCCGGGTAGTAGAGATCGTATACTGAAACATGACAACACCGGTGATGGTGTGATTCTCATCCCTTTCGAAAGCAAACGAGTCGATGCCAGTGAGGTTGCCAGAAACCGGTCGGTAGTACTTGGTTGCATCCGGATGATGGACCTCATCAAATGGAAAACGGGAGAATTCCTCCACCTTGGGGTCGATGTGTTCCAAATGCAGTTGCTGTTCACTGCCATCTTCGAGTACTCGTATGCAAAGGGCATCTCTAGCGCGTTTGACAACATAGACATGTCCAACAACTTCGAACATCAGACCAGCCGTGGAGGCTGTAGAGGGGTCCTTCATAAAATTGTAGAAGTATTGGGCTGAAGCGTTGACCAATTCCGATCCCTTCATCTCCATGAGCTTAGTGAAGATATAGTGGGAAATGATCTGCGTGCATGAGCTCGATCGGTCCAAACCTTCTGCATCTTGGAGGGGATTGATTTCTACCAGACGGTGGCTGTATTCCTCGGGTTCAGTTGTCACCACTTGTTGGAAGAAGTGGGTTGGGGTGCAGCCTTGAATGGTCGAGTCAAGGTCGCGATCCACCTCCCGTTGCGTACGATCCAGTAGATACCTTGCCGAACCCCCATACCTCATGAACGCAATACGCCAACCATTGTCTTCAGTCCTCTGCTCCATGGCATAACCGCTGGGAGAGATCAGTACTCCCAGGCCTCCTTATTTATGTAACTGACAACTCACCGAGAAACATACACTTCTTGCCAATTCCATGTTTTCATGTAAAACTTGTTCACATGATTTTCCTTTACCCATTTACGCACCTCTCGTGGCTTGGGCGACGATACTACCAAGGTTCTCCATCGCGGCGCCAGACTGTTGACACTCTCACCCGAACTGAGATCGAAGAGACTAAGGCCATCCAAATCGCCCCTTATAACCGCGAAGACCTCGGGATTAACCCAATCATCGAAGGAATCGAATGGAATACTGTAAACGCCAGAGCTGAGAAAGGCGAAACGCATTGAACGCGACTTGGAAAGCACGGTGGGCTTTCCTTCTGCGAGCCGATTGACGAGACAGTACGTCAAGTAGACAGTCTTACCTTTAGGGGCGTGACTGGTTACATTGTGCAACGACAATCCAGCACGAACTCACGCACCTATTCCAGGTTGTCCAGTAAGTAAAATTGGCGTGCGGCGACTGCGCCTAGCGATGTCTGATTGTCTCTGCTCCTCCACGAATGCATCGAGTTCACGGTATTCATCCCGCACATAAAATGTCGCGTCGAGCACGTTTTTTACCAGGTATGACACATTCGGGATCTTCATTAGGTCGTAAAACGATGCTTGAATGTTCGCCGTAGCATCATCCATTGCGACGTCCTCTGTCTCAGATTCTTGAGATTGGGATGTCTCATCCTTCGTCGGAGTATCATCCATTGTAACGTCCTCTGTCTCAAATTCTTGAAGTTTGTAACTGACAGCAAGGCCGGGCACCTGGATTGAGGATTTAGTAATGATTTGACCCAAATGAGGCGCGTTTTTCCAGAGATAGTTGTGGACGATAGCCAAATCGCCATACTCTGGATCATGTGGAGTGATACGGGGGGCTGTTTGTTGGGTATCGGCGGAGTACACGGGGAAGTCAATAATGTGTAAACTCAGTAAGGGGCCAGGAGTATATGCACTGCGTACCTGTATTGACGGTTCGTTTGGAGAGGGCTAAAGAATGGTTAGCCTGGCGTGCCAGCTGAGCTGAACTGACGAAGCGATACAACTCACGACGCTGTAATTTGACTATCACATGGACCAGGCCGTTACCCGAGTCTTGTCCAAAAACGTCGTTTAGTTCACTATCACCACGATCAAGAGGATCCTTTGTGGCTATGCTGACTGTTGCTCTATCAATAAGCTCTCCATCGCCCCTCCACGTCAAATTATCAGGCTTCTTTGGATGAGCACAGCATTCTCCAGACAGAAGAGCCTACTTACCTTGTACACGACAAGCTCGCTGTAATCGTAATATTCGCGCAGCAGCTTGTGCTTCTGATAAATTTTATACCGGAGTTGCTCGACAATTTTGGCACCTTCGAGATCTAGAACAAAAGGACCTAAGGTGAGGTTGGGACAGATGACGAAGTATGATAGACGCTTCGGAGGGTCCAGGGTGGTTGACGAAGTTGGTTGGGCGCGACGACATTGCGACATGGTTGACGTGAGTAAACCTAACCACATCAAGCACATGTGCCAGAAAAAAAATTTGGAGAATGAGAAATCTGTTTCAAAACCAGCTAGGAGCAGCGAAAATTCCAACGAATTGAGGCGGGGGAGAGGTTTTCTAAGTTAAATTCTGGAATCAGGCTTGACGTTTGCGCGGTTTTGATCAATCGATGACAGATTGCACGCGAGCGCAACCCACGCAGACTGCGGAAATTTGGAAAAGACCGAGTGGGTAGGAGTTCTGCATCCGACCAAGATACGAATTAGCCACGATCGATGTAAGTTGGATTCCTGGAATGGACTGCGCAATCAAATATACATCTAGTTGCCCCAACCAAACCCTATATATTAACTTGGGCATTATTGCCACGTAAATCGCATTCGACTTATTACCTCGGAACAACTTGGGGCAAAGAGGTTGGATCACGCTTTAAAATTTGACCCGACGCCGTCCTCACATCAAGTCAGAGGGGGTTGGGCCGTGGGAATTGCATATTCTCCCGAGCACCATCGGAATGGCATTCAGACTCAACGCAACGCTTCTAGCTGTAAGAGAAAAGCAGAGTAACTGGACTCGTTCTCCAGTGGTTTTTTTTTGATAGCTGGTTGGATTTGTATTGGTACATTTGCTGGGAGGTGGGAATGAGCAGTGTTGATTAGACGCGCTCGCAGCCGCTTCCTCTTTTTGGTGGCAACTGGCTGTCCCAGGATCCGATGATCATCACTCTGGCTACATGCCTAACCTACCTATAAATAACCTTAGGATCATGTTGTCCTCCTGGTAACTTGGCTGTTCCCGAGTTGCATACCTTCTTCTCGACCCGCAGCATGAATAGTTGTTGGCATCATAACCAATCTGGCAAAACATTCACTCCGAAGCTCCTCGTTATATGACGAGCGCAAAGTACGGAACTTATCTCTGCCCCCCCCCCTTTTAATCTATGTTAAAATGCGGTCTGCCTATTTCTCACTGTTGCTTCTCGCTGGAATCCCTTACTCTGCAGGACACCGGCGTCACTTCGGGCTTTCCAAACGCCATGGTGTTGACTTCACCCCGGCCCAGATTGCTGCTGTCAAGGCTCGACTGGCTGCGGGTGCGACACAGAGGTTTGTTCTTGTCGCTTCAAGTCTACAAGTCCAGGTTGCTGTGTATCTAACTGGTCTGCTTGTTCTCCAGTTGGGAGGTGGGGACTCGTGCTACTGCCCTGCTGGAACTAGACTATCCGAATCTCTTCCTCTATCGCGAGAATTCTATTCCGCCAAAGTTAAGGGGAGGTGGAGCCGGATCAGAGGTTTTCGCTATCGTGGATTGGGTAGTTCAGAAAAAGCCTTCTCACATTCCAACATTTTGGGATGTCGCTGCCGCGGGTGATCCGCCTAGTGAGCCTTTTTTGCTGGGGGATATCCAGCATCATGCGTTGGTTGAAACACAACATTTCTCTTAGGTATCGGTATACCCGCGCTGATTCGTAACTGGACGGGTACCGGGAAGATTTCCCGGACCGCTGGTGTTGATGCAACTTCTCAGCTCGAATTCCTTCTATATACTAACTGGCGCACACCCAAGGGTGCGATGTCTCACCGTCGTCCGCCGCAGCCCGTCCAGCTCTGGTCAGACTTTCTTTCTATGGCTCCTCCATTCATCTCACACTACGGTATGTTCATTCGCATGTTCCCCAGACTCTGTCAACACACTCTTCGATGGATCCGTTAGGTGCACTTCAAAATAACAGGACCCTTGTCTATGAAGGTTATAGGCAATGTAAACTTTACCGTGAAGCCTTGCTTGACGGCTCGGGTCTTCTTCAACACATCATCCTCGGTGCTTCGGGGCAGGATCACCTCCACTGGTCAACAGGAAATGCATGGGCTGTCAACGGAATGCTCCGTGTTCTTCGCATCATCCAACTCTCTGACTTTGCTCTCGAATTCAAGAGCGAACAATCGGATCTCATCGGTTGGATCACGACCCTTCTGCAGAAGGTTTGGTCGTTCCAACAGGATGATGGATCGATCCTCAACTACATCGATGAAAACCCTAACTCGGGTCTTCATCACGTCTTCCACGAATCTAGTGGTACGGCATTGTTCGCTGCTTGCACTTATCGTCTTGCTACCATCCTCCGTGGCAAGATTCCCGGTAACCTTTTGGCCAGCGCCGAAAAGGCACGTCAGCACATTATTGCAAAGATTGGTTCGGACGGCTGGTTGGAAGGAGTTGTGAATCCCATGAATTGGAGGGTTGCTGGGGAACATAGTGCCGAGGGTCAGGCGTTCGTCGTTATGCTTGCTGCGGCTCATAGGGATTGGAAAGGATCAGAATGATGGAAACCCCTGACCACTCTCACTCGAGGACGAGCGCGAAACCTCGACAAATATTCTCCGTACTCATCTCATCCGTTTTACTCTCATTTTTCGTGTTAAGGTGGATACCGAGAATCCGAGCATTCGAATATCATTATTCATCAAGTCCCTATCCCACAAGACAAGGACCGATCCGACACGACACTCCCATACCTATACCCTTCGGAGAGCGGCACAGAACGCACCACATTTCATTCGTGAGCACTCCCTCCGAGAGTTGGCTGGCGTCAAGCGCCCATCGCAATTAGTCTCAAACTCGTCCGGAGGTGGTGCAGTCCTATTGGGCGGTTTTGTATCCATTCCCCAACAACTGGGCGCTACCCAATGCAGCAAGTTCCGAGGACGGTCGCCTGCACCCAATCATTGTAATTTAATCCTTTTGGAGGTGTCATGCCTTCTTCACCACTCGTTTGAACAGGATGATGGAAGCTTGACAAAGAGCGTTTGCTAGCAAGCGAGATTTACCCTTTGAATCCGGATATCACTCCTGATGGTTGTATGAACGCTTTTCGAAATTCGTTCGACAGAGTTGCCCGGATGCTTTGCGATGCTGGGCACCAGTTTGATATATGATATCTGGCTAGATCGGGTGTTGGCTGACGCCGCTCCAAGCCTGCGGTTCATGTTTGGTATTGTCTAATTTCGATTGTCCTAGGGTCTACGCCGCCTCGTTTCTATGCTCTTGGGCCCAGTGCTCATCCTCTCGGGCCGCGAAATCGATATAAGGTAATATGTATCAAGAGCGCACGCACTAGCCGCATACTTGCATTTACGAGCTGTGCGTACATCAGTCGTTAATGGCTAGTTTCACTATTGGCTGCATTGGGAATGCACATTCATCTACAACGTTTTCCGTGGGATGAACTAGTATAAGAAATTTTAGAGATCACAGGCATGCACGATGTATGGAGGGTGTACGACATCGGATCGAGTGACGCGTTCCATCTGCATATTGCTATGAGTACATACCAAGCAGAACTAACCTTGGCTCATGCTCGCTTGCAATATTGTTCTGTCATTCGGCCGCACGCTAATCCCCTGCCTTGATTCACATGCACTGTGACGTGTGCATTAATCCCAAAGCGCCATCGATATACAAAAATCACGTATTTTATCCGTGAACAAGGAAACAATAACACGGCGAACCATGAATATAGTTGTACAACCACGCCGACACCTAATATCTCTTTCACCATGTGCACGGAATATTTGCTAGAATTCGCCTCGCCGTACTATCCTTTCGTTACTGTCGGTCGCCCTCGGATTCCCTTCTCATGTAACCTTCTTGCAATTAACATGGCCTTTCGGCAGCCTGCATGCGATTTACAATTGATTTCCGGTCTACAATATTCCGATTTTCCCCCTGGTAAACGCTGATCACAATAGGCGGCGAAGTTGAGACCCTCTTATGGACTATCCGCCCTAACAATATTGAATGAGCATCAGACCAACGTAAACGACGATCCAGATCTCAGAAGAACCAACAATCGGAAACCTCATCGTCTGACCCCCGTTTCAAACTCTCTGAGATGCGCACAGGGTCGCCTACGTAGGGCAGTTCATGCGGGTGCGACCCTAATCCCCCTTTTCTGCCGATTAGCAATCCTCCGCCACTCATCGCCATTGACGGCTGGACCCGCGTCTGAACTCTTGAAATGGAACTGGTACAAAGGATAGGAAAACAATCCTTCTGGTCTGCCTAGGCTTTAAGTTAGCTAGTCTGGAACTCGCCCTGACGGAGACCATTTCAATTGCGCTTTGGTCTGCACAAAAAGGGTTGAAAAGCAAAATTACGACCAGATGTCCGTCGCTCCCCTTCATCCTGTGCGGTTTCTTGAGATTCCAGATGCACAATTGATCAACATCGATGCTTCATTCAAACCGAGCAAAGCTTGTCCCTACCCGGGCAAAACCGAGTCGTGAGGATCCAGGGGTTTGCGCTTTGGATTCACGCATGCCCAACGACATTGCTCCGCGAGTCTACATGGCTATAAAACCCCAAATCCTTTATTTGGACCCCTACCTTAACCCTCCCTAGTCAACCATGTCTGTGAGCCAAATGCCTCACCTCATCCCGGGTAAGTTATGTCCGTGCGCTGTCAATCCTCTTCTAACAGTTTCATTAGCCCCCGTAACAAAGCTTATTATTTCTTCTGGATCATGGAGCTCGGAACACATAATCCCCCCACTCAACATCGCTTCCACCACGCCGGGGCACATCTTTTTGCCAAGAATTGACACATTCTATCAGGTAATGAAGAAAACATCGTCTTTGGTAACGTGAGTTGTATCATTTAATGTCCTACAATTTTCGCCCAACATCCCTACAGAACACTTCAAGGGAAATATTTTGAAATCGTCCGAACAGGTCCCCTGGCTCCAACAACAACTCTAGGTTGGCTGGAGCTGGGTAGAGATGGTCCGATCTGGAGAAGAGGGCGGTTGGATACGAGGGAATCAGATCTCCCCCGGGTTCCTGGCCCCTACGGTCTCCAGGAGATCCGGGTCATGATACGGCCGATTTCAGGGATTCCTGATTGTACTAGTGAGTTGGTTTCTTGTTGTTTTCGAACCCGGGCTGCACATCTCTGACATCCCTTAGGAACTACCCCACCTATCTTAGAAGATCTGTTCGTAGTTTCACAAGCGATTCCTCCCCAATCCCTGTACGGGATGGTGTACAACGGCACACCGGCAGACGCCGCTTCCCCCTTGACTCCATCCGCTTGCACATACCCCTTCCGCAGCCCTGGGCCTTCCAGTGGCCCCTCTGTTGGTGGAGGGAGGCCACGGAGGCCAGAAACGTCGAGGGAACGGCAGGTGGAACAAGCTGTAGCAGGGCCAAGCCGGCCCACACCTTCCACCAGCCGCAGACGGCAAACGTCTGCCCCTTACGGGAGGGCGAGTGAGAGGAGGTCAAGGGGTATAAAGTCCACTACACGTCGACAGCTACCCGTCACTCCACCAAACGTCCCCGCAACCGATAATAACCACCCCTATTATTGGTACCCACTCCAACAATCGTCTAACGCCTTTCCCGGAGAGGCGTTTCTAAACTTTGGAGCGGCCACCACTCCAGGAGTATTCGGGCAGCAGCCCACTGCAGACTCGTCCGCCCCCCAGCAGGGTTACGGTGCTGCGTCTCTGGGGGTGGTATCAGCACCCTATCCACTTACCGTCGAGGCGCACCAAGAGTCGCAGTTATGGGCCCCGACCTCCATCCCTGGAGGGGATATCCTGCAAAACATCTTGACATCCTTCCCGTCAGCCCCCGGCAGCAGTGGACACGCCCCCGCGCCATTGCCTCCCGACGACCATTTCTTTACATATTTTGACGTAGATCCCCAGGGGGAGCTTTGAAGCGCTTGGTTTTCTTGATCGGTAGCTTCAACAACTCACCACTTTCCCCTACCCTACTGATCTCGCGATCGTTAACGATCAGTTTGTACGAGTAGACGTCGATATTTGCAATCGCCGGAAAGTTCCGTGATGTTGATGCTTATTTGTGTCGGACATTATCTTTTCTTCTGACACCTCATATTCGCTTTCTTGCCTATGGGTACGTTTCTTTCCTTTGGAGCCTTTCCCCACCGCAGCGTGTCCTGCGAACGAACAATGATGAAGTTTTATTCATATTTGCACTTCTACGAACTCCTCACCGACCGAGGTGTAATGAATAGGCATTAATATTAGCTCTATCTGAGCTTCGTTCATGCTGCGTGTGGTGGTTTTGTTAATTCTTGCATGACGTCTTGTTGTGTTGGCGTTGCTAATGCAAGCTTTTCTTCAGGCATTTTCAAATTTACATACGGACCAGAGCACCGAGATACTTTGAATTCCTTCTGTGCTTTCCCACTTTGTACTGAATATTTGTTAGAGGTTGAGGTTGCATAATCCCCAGTGTATCTTATACAGAATGACTTCTCGCTTGAAGGTGGACGCTGTATTTTTAAGGCTGAGATAAGTGACAAGCTAGGGAACGCCCAAGATAGGAAACTAAAGTGAGATGGAGGTTAGTGATTCTCCCTATTAGTGCTAGTGTAAGTAAGTGTCGACAGTTCGGGCGAGACGGCGAACGGGGAACAAAGCGTGAACACAGCAGCCCTTTGAGCCCGCTGCATAGCCTCACGCATGGCTTCCGGATTATGGAACACATTCCTATCTTCCCGTTCGATCAAGGATGCAAGAAGCGATCCGACGAGAGAATCACCAGCCCCGGTGACGTTTACCACCGACGTATTCGGCAAGCTATGAGCAGGGAAATGTTGGAAAATTAGAACGTCTCCTTTGCCCGTTCTATTTACGACTAGATGTTTGTTCAGATCAGTGCTGGTGGAGAGCCAGGCACTTTGAATTGCTTCTTGTGGGTGTAAATGCATAGCAACAAAGACGCCTGATGGCCAGATTTGTATAATCAGACACCCTTTCTTGAATTGAGGGCGTCAACACTTACCTTGGGATCCACATTTGACGATAATATGTTGGAAGAAAGGTAGCAACTGGATCGTCATTTGTACCACTCCTTTCTGGGCCAAGAATTCCAAACTAGGCCCACTTCTAGCCAATCGTACAATCTCTTCGCTGAAGTTAGGCCCCAGTTGGAAATGATCAATGGTTTCGAACCAACGAGAAAACGACGAAGGACTAGCATCGGAGGCTTGCTCTAGGGGAGGGTCCCGAATACATCGGAAGAGATGTTCAAGTTCCAAAATGTTGGGAGAGATAAACGTGACTGGTTGGAGGGATGATACGGCAGGATTTGCTAAGTATTGCGTACAAAGTGCTGGAAGGATCCGAGTTGACTTGACGATCGAAGTGGGTTCAAACCAGACTATTGCGATAAGGCGTAAGTCGCATTTTGGATGGACGCAGCCGGCGTTCTCTCACTTGGGATATTACGTTCCGAAGCAAATTGCACCAGGTCAGATATGATGTCCGAACTTAAATTACCGTCCAACGCCACAATGTTTGGATCGGAGGCTTGAAGCACCTTGGAAAGCTGAACTCGTAGGAAGACCCTCCATATAGAAATGAACGAACGAAGAATGTACCTCACTGAATCCGAACGTATCTAGAGCTGAGAAGTCTGACACACCACCGAGAAGCTCCCCGGCTGGCGTCAAGACCATATTGCACACCGGTGTACGTCGATTGCCGCCAGACAACCCAGAAAGAAGACCGTCGCTTCGCATCCCGATTTGAGTGATCTCGGTAGACACGACAGCGCCGAGTTCGTCCGTTCCAATTGGGGAAACCAGCTGTACATACGAGGAAGAGGATTTAGAAGACCCTCGAGGGTCTAGCGATGAGAGACTTCGGTGGGCTGCCTCGGCCATGTTTCGCGCTACACCGCCAAGGGTAATTGACACTTGTCCTGGGACGGTTGACTGGGCAATGAGAGTGGAGTCTGTGGAAGTGTCCGCTCGAGCAACAACATCAACGGCTGCAGCACCTAATACAACAAGTCGTGCCTTTGGTGCTTGGTTGGCGATTGAAGCGGATAGAGATGACTTGGGCGCTATATTTGACGGAGAACCGACACCGATAGTGTAGCCGTCAGATAGAATCTTACAATTGAAGGATTCATTCCATATTCAACCAATACACAGCGCAAAAATGGCATACAGATCGAGACTTAGCTTACAGGCACTCTTGCTGATGCATGTTCTGCTCGTTCAGCAACAAGTTTTGCGTATTCCACGGCAATCTCGCCACCTTGAAGGAAGAGCCGCTCGATGTTACACAGGCATATTGTGGGGCTTGAAAAGAAACTCACCTATTCGAGATGTATTCTCGATCAAAGCGATATCTGCCAAGCCACTTTCAGCCAGCATGAGCAAGAAATTTCGTGAGGTGACTCACTGTTCGGGATGGACGATCCACCAGTGAGCTCAGCTACCCGGCGAAGCAACCACGGAGTGGCATCCTTGCCTGTCTTACTAACACCGTTTTCCTCTGATTCCTGAATGGCTTGTTCTACGGCTTGTTGGATTTTGAGCCCGGCGGTCTCGTATTCTTCAGGTATTGGACACGCTATAAGCGCTCCTGAATTAAGATTGAGCTGGTGCTGCGCATCTGGGCTCTTGTCAGATAATGATCGTTGGGCTAAGGCGAAGAGGAACCCTACAAAGCATTCTGGCAACCTGGGTCGCAGAATCAAAATTCCAGGGATTCTGGGGCAAAGAGGAAGATCAGAGATTGAAAGTAATGAGAAACACAACCTGAATACCTGAAACCCGCTCCTTCGAGAGAAGAAGGCCGGGAACTCTTTGGTTGGACCGAATGTGCCGACAGTCACGCCTTCTGTTTCAAGATATTCAAGGGTTCGGCCGATGTCGAGGATGGATTTCACCCCCGCAGACACCACAGCGATGGGCGTTCTCCCAAGCTCAGTAAGATCAGCAGATATATCCAGCGCTGAAAGGAAGATTAAGGGGTTATCCAGGATATGTTTGAGGAACTCACAGAGCTCGCCGCCCCTATGAACCCCTCCAAGGCCCCCCGTAGAGAAAACGCTTATGCCAGCTAAATGAGCTATGACCATCGTCCCGGCGATAGTAGTTCCACCGTCCCGCCGAGTGGCAACAGCGGGCGCTAAGTCGCGTCTCGACACCTTCACTCTTCCGCCGTTTGAAGGATCAGCAAGACGCTCCATCTGAGAAGGCTCCATCCCAACGTGAAGGCGCCGGAAAGTAGCCCAATGGTGGCTGGAATGGCGCCGGTAGATCTGATAATTCTTTCGCAAGAAAGCGCGGTGTCCAGATTGATCGGATGCGGCATTCCTGTGCAGACCGTAAGCACGCATACCAAAATCACTGGGGAGCAACTGCACCATGGGTAATTATCGCGCTTTCTAAAGCAACAACAGGCCTCCCCGCATTGATTGCTTCTTTAACCTCGGGGTGAATGGTTAAAGGCCATGCATGTTGCTGCGATTAGAGGTTAGAGAGAACTACTTTCAAACGCATGTGCAAACCTTCCCATGAAAATACCCCCGCGCAAATGATGGAGTTCTCGCTCGCAATCTACTGGTGTGGCGGCTGACGACTTGCATCGCTCTTTGAATCAACTCTTCGAATTCGGTTTCGGTGATTCTGTAATAGGTCACGAGCCCTCCTCCGATCCTTCGGTTTCCCCACATTGACCTTCGCCCTTTCCTCTGTCCGTTATGCTTCGGAGAATTTCACTGGGACCGAGGCGGACATTCGCAACAGCCCCATTGTCTGGGCTTTTGGGAAGAGCTAAAGCCGCGGCTCAGGCCTTGTCGACGAATTGGCAGGGCACAACTGCAGACGGTGGTAGTACTAAGAACTACATTAATGGGCAGTTTGTCGGTATGTGATGTTTTGGGGATTTTGGAGTGAGTAGCTTTGTGATCGGCTATTCTCGCAGAGAGCTCAACATCCAAGTGGCTCGAGATTCATGATCCGGTATTGCCAACACCCGATATGGAATCTTATGGAAGATTTTGACATGCTATTTACGAAGTCGACTCAAACACTTCTGACAAGGGTCCCAGAGACCACAGCTGAGGAATTCAATGCGGCCACAGATGCTGCATCGGAAGCCTTTAAATCCTGGAGTAAGGCGAGCTTACTGACCAAACAGAAATTCTTGCTGGAGTAGGTTGTGATGATTCTTCATGGATTTTGGGATCTTAAGTCCGACTATACCTTCAGTTTCCAGGCTGAGATTCGTAAAAATTCGGACGCTATTGCGGAGAGCATGACACTTGAGCAAGGGAAAACTCTTACTGATGCGCACGGCGACCTCCACCGTGGGCTTCAAGTAGTCCAGGCGGCCGCAGCTGTCACTACTACACTAATGGGGGAGAAACTTGAGGGTAGGCACCTTCTCATTGGATCTTAGATAGAGGGGATGATACTAATTCCCGGCCTGCTGTCTTCCTAGTGAGCAAGGACATGGACACTGAAATGCGAAGATTACCACTAGGCGTATGCGGAGTGTGCGTTTCTACTTGCTTTATTCCTCCTTCTGGTCCCTAATTGAGTGACAGAATTGCTCCATTCAATTTCCCCGCGTGCGTGACGGACTTAGAAGACATAAGACCTAATTAACCTCGTGCAGTATGATTCCATTATGGAGTATACCCTATGCAACTGCCACTGGAAACACCGTCGTCATAAAGCCATCTGAACGTGCTACAGGTGCCACCATGATCCTAGCCGAGTGAGTTAATCATCGAAATTACTCACTCCCATTCAAACGCCCCCTCCCAGGCTTGCCACCCGTGCAGGTTAGCTCCATGTGTGTTAACCGGCCATCATCGCCATCCTGAGATTTTCCAAGGCCTGCCACCAGGTGTGCTAAACATTGTGCACGGAACTGTGCCCACTGTCAATGCGATCTGCGACCACCCCGCTATCCGCGCCATCAGCTTTGTAGGAGGCGACAAGGCCGGGAAGCATATATATGATAGGTCGGCATTGGTTTCTTCCACTTAATACCTAATATCCATTAATGTTTGACTCAGAGGAACGAAAAATGGCAAGCGAGTGCAAGCGAACTTAGGGGCCAAGAATCATGGTGTTATCTTGCCAGATGGTGCAAGCCACTTTCTTGTATTATTGAAAATGCCTAATTGTTCCTTTCTCAGCGAACAAGAATCTTGCCCTTAATTCCTTGGTTGGCGCTGCTTTTGGAGGTGAGAATTTGTCCCTTTTCCTATTCATTTTCCCCGCCCATTCACCTCAATTCAGCTGCTGGCCAAAGGTGCATGGCACTCTCCGTTGGTGAGTGATGCCAACTTGCGTGAGTGACACTGGCTCGAATCTCCTCCTAGCTGTCTTTGTGGGTCCGGCGAAATCATGGCTTCCCGAACTCGTTGAACGAGCCAAGCTCTCAAAGTTAATGGGGGCTTTGAGCCAGGGACAGATATGTAAGCACGTCAACTGCCTTTGGGGATCATTGGGATAACCTCCAAATCAACATTCAGCGGACCACTCATTTCTCCATTCGCAAAAGAACGCGTGTCGCGCTTGATTGGTAGTGTTGAGAAAGAGGGTGGAACAATACACCTTGATGGACGCAACATCGTCGTTCCCGGCTACGAGAAAGGCAACTTTGTCGGCCCCACAGTTCTCGAAGGTCTTACCACAATGGAGGCTTATAAGTAAGAATTTTATTGACCTTTTAGATCAGAGAGGTTTCGCTGACCCCACTGATATAGAACGGAGATATTTGGGCCTGCGCTATTCTGTCTGACGGCTGACACGTTGGATGAAGCTATCTCTATCATCAATGAAAATCCCTATGGCAATGGTGCGGCCATCTTCACACAATCGGGGGCTACGGCGAGGAAATTCGAGAATGAGGTCAATGTGGGTCAAGTTGGCATCAACGTTCCTATTCCAGTGCCTCTACCGATGTTTTCGTGGAGTGGCAATAAGGTAGCGTGAGAGATGCTGATACAGGGATGGAATAATTTACCCCAAAAAATAGGGAAGTTTCTTAGGCGACATCCCCTTCTATGGCAAGACGTGAGAAAAGTGACTTCACCTTTGAAACCGGCGAACTGACCAACATTCCGTAGCGGTTTCGAGTTTTTTACACAACGGAAGGTGATTGAATCATTGGTCTCAAGCTTAACTCCTACCAACCACTTTGTGATTAGACCATTACGGCCTTGTGGCGTGCCGAGATGCGATTGGAGTGAGCAATCCACCCTCCTTGTTGCAACTCCCATGACGAAGCATTTCCAATACAGAATAAGGCTTCTGTCGATATGCCTACCCAGCATTGATACACACATAATCACCTGTCACCCCTGTGTATGCTATTGCATAAAATCGTATTACCTAAAGATTCATTCCGCTCGGAGAAGTGGTGCGATGAGGGTTGGCTGCTCTAGTGGGCCTCCCCCTCGTGAATAACCCTACCATGTCAGCACAAATAGGCATCCGATTTCGGTTTCCCATCATGCCGCCGCTCCACCGCCATACCTTTGGTCCTTATGAACCCCACACAGAATCGAATTGTCCCCGTATCATTATGTGTCAAGTGCGTCCAGGGAGCCATGCGGTTCGAAATCATTTATGTAAGCGACAGTGCACATCATAACAACCGGGCGACAACAAAGTCTCAGGCTCACCCTCACGGACAGGTACCTGCCATAACGTCAAATTGGGTTGTCTCACAAAGCAAGGCAGTGGTCAAGCCCCGATAAAAATGTGCGGGGGGGTCGGGGACCTGTCGGGATACATAAGCAGTGACGGCAAGTAGATGAGGTGCGAAGGTCTAATTGCACTATTTGGCTAAATCCTGTTCGTTCACTGGTCCCCTGGTTCCCTGTTTGAATTTCTTCCATTCCTCATATTTACCGAGCCATTCCGTATACCGCTCATCCTTCGCCCCGCCCAAAACAACGACTTCACTCATCGGCGAGCCGGTGCATCTGCCCTCTTCTGCGCACCATTACTTCCGCACGCTCATTTCAAAGACCTGAAATGGGTTACGAGTTCGAAATGGCAATGACATTCTCCAACCGTATCACAAAATTGATATCTAGATCAGAAGAGTGAACCAAAGTCATTTCAACGATTCTGTGTAGCTCCGGTCTGAGCAATGCGCGCGGGCGTCGATGTGGAAGCAACTCGACGTTACCTTGATCTATTTAACTCAAAGAGCCAGCCCCCCCCCCCCCTCCTCAGCTTTTTAGTCACCCACTATGAGCACATTCACGGTGACTGGCGCGATACTCAATGCAATGTCTGTTCCCGGCTGGTTTTCCAGGTAACTGAATCATTCTTCATTTTGATCAAGTTCTCTCGTCTCGTCCGATGGACTTTTCGGCTCATCACAATTCAAACCTACATCTGCTTCAAGCGATACATACCAGACATCTACCGGTCGAGGGAACGGTGACATTTCTAATGCGAGGTTCGGCCGGGTGCAGGAAGATTATGTAATTGACCGCGCTCAATGGCTCGATGCACACTTTCTCTCGGTGGTGCGCAGTCTTCTGGAAGCATTCTAGACACGAGCACACCTCAACGCTGTCTTTCCATTCCTTGAACGTTGATCCTTGGTCAGAGGCTGCTCTTTATATGCGATCCACACTAGAATTTCCGACAGCTTTGAGGTCCCGAAGTTTCGCTCCGATTGGCAGTGTGTGGAGGGTGCGGATGAAAAAGCACTCATTAACAGAACAATTTTCTACAGCGGCCCGTCTCAATTCGTATGTACCACGACAAGCAGTACAAAACAGCCACTCGGACATCGTTATTATACAAGCCTATTGCGCAGGCGGTCGCCCACTGATTCTTAGCTGGCTGTTCATCGAAGTGGTTGTCAACATTCTAATCGTTACATCCATGTAGCACTTCTTATCAAACAATAAACTGGGTTCCGGGGGTAAGTGACTATCGGAAGACCCCCAAACATTATCTCTTCACAGTGCTAATATATACGCTGTCAACAAGTGTCGTCAAACATAACCGTTTCCACGATATCCCTCGCAGCTTGTTTACGACGATTAGGAGGTGAGAAGATAAATGAAAGGAGAAATGAAGAAAGCAAGTGGGAATCCAAGTTGGGGCCCAAGAAATGGAGAATGCCAAGGTCCATCAATTGAGTGCGAAGAGAAAATTGCAAGCTGATTATGGTTTCCGCAGTACATGGTTGTCATGATATTGACATACGCGCGCTTTCAGAATACACAACCATAAAGTGTCCTGCCTGTGACTCTTGGTGCCGGCGGCAACGGGAACGTATTGAACCTTAAGCTTTCCTCTAAATCGTGTTGGCAGGTGTGAATGGGGCTACGGCTTATGTCAATGTCTCGGTGACTTTGGCACTTGTCTGTGTTAGCGGACTCCGTTGGCAGAGGCTGCCTTGTGGCAACGTTGCTATATAGAACTAATGCGAATTGTGACCAAAATGAGTAATCTGAGTCCCGAAAGGTGCTCCTTCACTTTCACTGAAAAGGATTTGAATGAACTTGGCATAGGCGACTGCGAGCACGTTTCAGGTGCCCTGATCACTTCAAATTGACTGGAACTACTTACTGCTAACAAAAAGTGGGCCATTCTCTCGTATGGGATTGAGAGTAAAGCTGGCACTTATCACCAATTCATAAACTCGAACACATCTGGACCGGACAAGAAATATTCTGCGATCTTCTCCAGATATTTGGGTGTAGGTATGTCTTTCTTTCTCAATGCTTCCAAGTCCCCGCCAAACGAGTCAGGACCAAACGAAATCACTGCAAAGCCGCGAGCAGGGGTCGTGCTGACCGGGCGCGCCGTGCAAATCCAATGGGTAGATCTGTCGACGTATTCCATGATTTTAATCATGGCTGCGTCGATTCGCCTGTCCGCGTCGTCTGTGACGTCTAGGAATGATTTGATCTTGTCCCAATCGATCGCATAGCCTTTAACATAACCGTTGGCCTAGGGGTTGAGTCTCAGGATGTAATAGGGTGACAGCTGGAGCTACTGACCATGACGGTGGGATTGGTTCCACAAGCTGTGACACGGCCACAGGTGTACCGGGAATTGCCGCCTGCCGCCGTCTTGCAATCCCAATTGCGTCTTATCTTGCCAGGACGATCATGATCACTGCACCGACTGAAAGCCCGCTGGTAGGTCGCCTAATGAGCTCACAGTGCGCCGTGTGGCCAGTCACTCTTATACAAAGTTAACGAAGCCTCAACCGTTTGCACTTGTTTCGATGAGAGCGTCTCGAACGAGGCGCTCATTGAACACAAGGTCATTCTTGGGCTCGTTATCTTCCCGCAACTCCGTCTTCCGTGGAAGCCTCAAGAGCCCACACTGATCGAAGATCGAATGTCCCCGATATCGGCTTGAGTCGCCTAGTTCCGCAAACCATATATAGCGAGTCGAAATGCCGCTTAAGTATGCCGAGCGACTGCACAATTTCGTATTTGTAATTCAATGAATGGTACTGCACTTGCACTGCATTGCTGTGGCTTGATTCAAGCCTCCACTGTATTAGTGGCTGGGAATGGATATCTAGCTGTTATTGAATCTGCATCGTGGACAACGAGTGTTTTTCTCCTGCACGAGTGCTTGAAAATGCTATCTGGCATTCACCCTTCTCCTACTTAACTAACGCTGACACTTGCGCTATGGATCACTGGTACCGACACAAAAGAAAACGATCATTTGCCTCTGAGTCTGAACGCCCTCCCAAGCGGCAATCCTCTATACTGCCCGACAGTGATCACCAGAAATCATCCGTTCCATCATCATCATTTTACCATTCTCAGCCCCGTCCCGCTAACCCGCAGACCTCCCTCACCAGCGATAATGGTTGGCGCAGTGGGCCTCACCTCGTCCCCAGAGTCGCGCCGATTTTGGCGTCCTCTGGTCCTTCACACCAAGCAGCCTCCCATAAGAGTATGATTGCGCCGCACGGGCCGTCCCCTAACCACCCGCACCCCTATGCCTTGGCATCATCACCTCAAGTCCTTACTCGCCCGCAGAGCCTTCAAGCGTACGATAATAGCCGCCCCGATCGGTGCAATGGACCCTATCTCGTCAGTCCCGGAGTCGCGCCTACTTTTGGATCTTCTAGCGATACCTCGACTTCGTCGCCCCAGGTCCATCCTGCTGGTCCACAGCCTCCCCAAATCTCGGGCCTCGAGAATATTCCTCATGATTACGGATCAGTGGAGTCTTCTCTGGGGGTTGATGGGGCTGCGCCCGCTTTTGGTCCTTCCTGGCCTTTCCCAATTCCCGTGCTTGAGCTACCAGAGATATCTGACAGTGATTCACAATCACACGCTTTGGTCTCATCGCTTGAAACCTATTCCACCAGCTCACAAACCCCTTGCGAAGGTAGTCACCGTGATCCGTGGGATGGATCGACGGAGTCTTATCCCGAAATTTCCCGGATTGTGGCACCATGGTCACCTTCTGGCGGTCTCCAGTCCCTCGCGCCTGAGATGAGGACCTGGCGGTCAAATGTCAATAGTATCAGCCGATCGAGCACACCTGTCCCCGGATCATCTGCTACCACCACGCCCGCATCTCCTGTGCATTCGGACCGATTGCCATCTCCCTCCCCGATGCCATCGAGCTCTGACACCCATGGTGATACTCCCAACCCTTGGGGACCCTACGACAATAATGCACGCATCCGCACAGAACTGGAAAATGCAGGGATAGATTTACCTGTACCCCCTGTGCCAGAGCCCACTCCGTCATCGTCAGCTGGCCCGTCGGATGGCAAAAAGGAAAGCATCATTAGCGCCACTAGACTCATCCTCCAAACCGCATCTTCCGCCCTCAAATTCTCGCCTATCCCATTCCTCCCTAACATTCCGGACTCACTTCTCATGCTGCTTCAGGTTTACGAGGTTTGGATATGGTTTTCACGGTTAATAATGATATATCCCTCACTTTTGCTTCACTCACGTAGAACGTTAGCAATAATAACAAAGCTCTCAAAGGGCTGAATGATGATGTGCAAAGTGCATACAGCACCATGTTACGGCCGCTCCAACTGTGGACGGGACCGATACCTCCCGAAGTCGTTTTTCTAGTGAAGGAATTACACTCGTACGTGGATGCCGTTCCGATCGTTCATTCATTGAGATCTCGAACACTGTTGACAGGACTCTGGAAGACCAGGTCAAGAGGATCAGGTTACTGCAGAGTCAGAATCGAAATCTCTTCAGGAAAGTATTCACGGCGGGCCCTTTAACGCAAAGCATAAACGACGTGAGGATGTGCATTAGTGTAGCCCTCTCCCGGTTTGCGGTTCGCAAGATCCGCATTTATGCCGCTAGACTTCAACTAATAGAGCGCTCTGTGTAGACGGTGGCAACAACTATAAACCTTCTCAATACGATTCAGGTGTCGGTGGATTGTTCGTCTTTTTTGCTTGATTCTAGACTTTATCTCAGTGCCATTTTCAGACGAGCTTTCAAAACTGCCCAAAGTAGATGCCGAATATTACCGTGTGAAGAGCAAGTCAGAATGCCTTAAGACCACTCGGGACAAAATCCGCGGCTCAATTCTCGACTACCTGAGGGATCCTAAGAATCGATTTGTCTGGCTGCGTGGTTCGCCCGGGACGGGGAAAACTGCGATATCTATGAGTGTAGCTTCCACGCTTGACAAGCAGCACACCCTTGCAGCATCCTTCTTCTGGGATAAGAACCAAGAGGGAACAGGACTCGATTCGATTGAGCGCTTCCCCTCCACTCTTGCCCGACAGCTTGCGGCATTCAGCACCGAGTATCAGAACTCGCTTATCAGGCAACTTCGGGATCCGGCTTCATTCAGCAGTATTGATGGTTCTGCAACAGAGAAAGAGATGAAAGCTTGGATCATCAACCCTATGCGTGAACTCGGGGGTGTATTGTCTTCAGGAAAGGGTCGCCCTGTGATCGTATTGGATGGACTTGATGAGTGCGGGAATCCAGAGGTGCTTGCGTCTTTGATGAGGCTCGTTCTTCTGCTTGATGAGCTACCTTCGACGTTTTCCATACTCATCAGTTGCCGTCCGGAGCCGCAAGTGATTTCCGCTTGGACTCGAGCTAATCCGCATCTTTCGATCGCTCATGAAGATATGGATCAGATTGCAAAAGACGAGAATTTCCACACGATCCGTTGTATGCTCGAAAATGGGTTCCAGGATTGTATCACGGAGTCTCCCTGGAAACCGACCAAGCAGGACCTCAATGCGTTCTCTTCAGCTTGCCGTGGCTTACCTATTATCGCCTCAACCCGGATACGTGACGTCCGCTATCAGATTCAATGCGGTTCCGTGCTGGAATCCGAATTCGATTACTATCTCAATCTCACAGACGCACCTGAGGATCTGAACTCGGAGTACTTGCGAATAATGCGACGGGCCTATTTAGGCCAGCGCACAAAAGTTAATCCACGCCTCGCAGAGAAGTACCGTGAGGTTGTTGGGATGATGATTGTCCCACGGCGAGAATTCGGCGTGTATGAGATATCACAGCTCCTTGGAAAGTATTCTGAGCATGAAGTGCGCTCGATACTCAAGCCCATTAGCTCAATAGTCGATCTACCTTCAACAGACAGCATTCCTGTCAAATTCTATCATGCGACAGTGAAGGAATTCATCACAGGGATTCCAATTGGCAATGAAGAGGACGAAGTATTTTTTATTAGCGACAAGAAAGGGTATTCAATTGGGTTGCAGCTCCTTCGATTTGTGAATGGTGCCATTAAAAGGAATGAGTTGGGTCTCCCTGAACTTCCTTGGGGAGATGAAAAGAAGTGGGAGTCTAGGGGCAAGACTACGAAACCCAAGCATGTCGACTATGCACTTACGGAGTTGTTCCAACACTTGGACCCTTCGCTCCTCTTTTCACAAGAGTCTAATGAATTGCAGAGAGAATTTGAACAATTCTGGATACAAAACTTGGCCTCGTTCTTCTCAGCAAAGGGTAAAGGAAAATTTCCTCCTGATTGGGATCAATTCGAGGTAAGCCCCAAAATGAATTGAATTTCGAGTGTTTCGATGATGTGATGTCACTTTGTTTTACAGAATCACGAGTCGATCTCTGTCATCCGTGGTGCCCAGGAACTCTTTAGCGAATCCCCATGGCATGCTTATCGATCCGTTCTCCCATTCACTCCAACGTCATCACCCATGTACAAATATTATGGTCATCTCTCGGACCCTGTTCGAGTCTTCAGTGTCTCCGGCGAATTCGCCGGTGGCTTAATTCCTTTATCCGATGACGCACACAGAGCTCGAGGGGTGATGGAGGCGGAGCTGACTAAATTGTCGAGGAAGAATGGATGGGAGACCAATTACGAAGCCGAGTTTCGTAACAAGAATGTTCGCAATGGTATTGTGACCTGTGCAGCGCTCTCAAGAGATGGCCATCGTGTAGCGCTTGGATTTGGAAGTGGTATTATCGAAGTAGCTGACATTGACGATCAGTGCACAATCTGTCAATTCCAGAGTGATTCTTCCTATCCTCCCATTTGGATTGAATTTATCCATGGTGGTAATACCCACATTGCCACCGAAGATACTCAAGGAAACACTACCATTTTCCGCCATGAAATGCCTTCGGTGAAGCTTGGCACTCTTCCCAACAGCCATTACCTTCCTCTAACTGCAGTGTCGGACAATGGGTGGTTTGTTGTACGAGTCCCACGAAATTCTAAAGATGCTTGGTACGAGAATATAACACTCTTGTGTGTCTCCGGCAACCCATCCATTCAGTTTCTTGCACCTCCTTCCACCGCTCGGTCTTCCGAATGCCTTTCCCTTCCTTTGCGACAATCACTTGGATTCTCTCCTGGAGGCCGATATGTCTGCGCTTACGATGCGCATGACGCTTTTGTCTGGTCAACATATTCAGGTGAATGGATCGCACGATTTTGTGCGCAAGGTTTCGACAAGTGGATCATCAATACTGGTGTTCCCCCCCTTGCTCATATTCCATCCCCAACCCCATAATCCTTCAATCTGCCATTCCTTTGATCCCGGAAGTGGACATGAACTATGGGCAAACTTCCGACTCGTCATTGTCCAGGCACGACTCAGATAGATCATGGCTGAAGTGCCCCTTTTACGACCTTCACCTTCCAGAGGTTGGGACGGAAATCTACTCATGCGCAGTAGGAAGAGTCCCACTAATGTCTCAGTACACCCACCAAATCTTTCTCAATGGGAAAATCAAATTCACTTTTGAACGGCTATGGGATTACGAACCAATCGAACATGTGGTGGTTCCCAATGTTGTGGATCCCCAATACAACGCGAGGGCCTGGTACGGTGATCGAAATATGGATGCAGTAGACCCTAGATTTCGTAATAGCGTTAACCAAACCAGCTACTTTTACCTTCCCCAGGCTAGTAAAGATGGAACTCGGTTTCTTGTCCAGGGCAGGATGAAAGCCCCAATCATCGTCGATATCAGCCAGATTGTTTAACACCCCAATAATTCCTCTTTCCTTGGTTAATGTCTTCACTTTGCGGCAGAGCGGATTCATACTGCAATGTTCATGTCGGTTGAAATAAATCTGGCCATCCACCTAATGCCCGTAAAGGATGACCTACGAAGCTTTGTGGTCAGAAAGCTAAGTCTGAAAAACATGCCAGCTTTGAGGTTCGGCAAAATTGCGGCGGAGACAAATCTAGCGAGTTACCCTGTTCTGAAATCTTGACCACACAAGCTTCAGAGGAAGTGACAGAGCATGGCGAGTGTGAACACGTTGCAACGTTGAAGACACTCCAGGGGTATTTCTGATATGGAGCGGCCGGCAACCGTACTCTCGCGGTCATATTACTCAAAGATAGACATTATATGTACCAAGCCTTGTGCACGTAGAGACGTCAGACACAGCTGATTCCTCAGCCCTACTGACTGTCTGTGTTCCAAGTTCCAGTTGAAGTGTTACTGCCCTGCATGATGTGCTAGGACTCAAACCGAACAACGCACCTCATGAGGTTACAAATTCTTTCCCGGGCTCCCCAATATATGTGGCCAGCATGCACGTCGAAATTAAATGTGAGCACACGCCCATGCCGGTTTGGATTTTCCCAAAAAAAAAAAAACTATACATCATTAAGACCACTGTGCAGGCTATTCTTTAATTTGGATCGTACCTGGTGGCAGCTAGTAATGTCATGGTCGATAAAGTATGATTATGCACACGCTGAATGCAAATGGTGCGGCATTTCATCCTCCATATAACATACCCCCGAACCCAAGGGAACCTACTTTCCTACCGGCTCGCTAAGAGCATGTGCGTAGCCCTGAAGATCCTACCTTGAATAAACCGAATCCTACCTCTGCTTCGAACAGCGTTCCGTAACCCAGGGATTCCGCCAATTCGACTTTGGATTCTCGCGCAATTATTGGCACTTGGAAGGAAATTCAGGGGGTGATTTGAAAGAGGAGGGGTCGCGGCTCGTGCGGTGTTGGAGTAAAGCCGGATTATTGGATCGGTAACATGCTCATGCCGATGCCAATTTTATAACATCTAATCAGCGCTCGTGCATGCCTTGGACCTTGTCCCAACCGTTTTCCTAGCTGGTGTCAATGCAGTGCTCCCTCGCGTGTGTGCACACCACTGCGATTGCACGCAGAGGGAATCCGCGAGTATTCATCAAGTGGGTTGACTTGATATAGTAGCGATGCCTGTACACGTTCCAGGATCAACGGGAGTCGAGTCCGAAGGGAGAAGGGAGCTTTTTCAGGAACAAAAAGTACAGTTGCAGCTGGAGACGTGGACGGAATGACACAATGCTGTCCATTGCACTCAACATGCCGATTGGGGAGAGGTTTGAACTGAGATCGACACTGGAACATACGAGAAAGGTGGGTGTGACCGATGTACGCTCTCATCGCACAGTTCCCGAGTCTGCTCGTGTGGGAATTGAGTCACTGCTCACTTAGATCTCAACTGCACGCGTGTTTTCATCGGTGCTAATTCTGTGTTGTGACTCCGCAACTCCCTCAGATTAGGTAGATTTTGATGAATCAACCTCGAAAATTGGCACTGCACAAAATTTAAGTACCAGACGCTGGAAAGGGGTCAAATCGACGTAATTTGGGCCGTAGGTTGTGAATCTGAGGTGATGAAGAGCTAAAAATCGGTTTGAGCTGAGAGGATGACTTTGAGCGTCCCCCACTGTACACAATTGACCAACTCAATTCGCATTTGTAATCTGATGAATGGTGGAGCACTTGTGCCGCCTTGGACTACCTATCTGGCTAGCTTTTTCGACGCCGCTAGTAACTGACCTCGTGGCGTCGTTCCATTTCCCAAAACAGTGGCTGTTATTGAACCTGCATCGCATTTTTGCATTTTTTTTTCTCTCACACGGCGCTTTAAAATGCGATTTGGAATTCACCCTTCTACTACTTAGCTGATGCTGACACTTGTGCTATGGATCACCGGCACCAAGACAAAAGAAAGCGGCCATTCGCCTCTGAGTCCATCAGCAAAAAATTGTTATGCTCCTGAGTGCTCCGGAGTATCGAGAGCACTGGGAGAATCAGGAGGAGATTGGCCGGTCCAGGAACAGCCCATTTCCTCCGGAGTTGGCTAGGTACTCCAGGGCACTCCCAGGAGGGCCTGGAGCATTGCTTTGTGCACAAACATATCCAGTAAATACAATTTAAATGCTTCAAAGTGTATAGGGGTGAGAAGCTTCTGGGAGCTCCTGGAGCATTTGAAAATGAAAAGGAAAAAAAAAGAGGGAAGATCCCCCATGAATACCTCCTACCACAAGACTAACACAACAAGACACTGCTTAACATTTAGATCAAACACTATACTATATATCAAGGACACTGAGACTCACCAATACACAATCAAAATTTATGGCCTGATATATGATTAATCTGGCAACTTAATCACTTTCGGGCTGGCAGAATATGGGGGAGGGGGAAATGGGGGAGAATGAGGGGGGGAAATGAGGGGGAAATGAGGGGGAAATGAGGGGGAGAATGAGGGGAGAATGAGGGGGAGAATGAGGGGGAGAATGAGGGGGGGAATGAGGGGGGGAATGAGGGGGGAGAATGAGGGGGGGAATGAGGGGGGAGAATGAGGGGGAGAATGAGGGGGGGATATAGAGGGAAATGAGGAAAATTTGAAAAATAGGGACTTCTAAAAAGTTGAAAAAAATAATTAGGGAAAAAATCAAAAAAAATTCAGGAACTGTAGTGCCTTTGAAGTGCTTTCAGGATATATAATTATTTGCAAAATCGAGGAAGAAATGATGGAGAAAAATGGAAAATACTTTCGGAGACCCGAGAAATAATGAGAACTGAATTGATGGGAAAGTCTGAAAATTGAATAGGGAAGTGAGGGGAAGCCTTGTAGCATTGTTATTTTCTGCTGTTCTAATTTTTCCTGATTGTTCTTGGTCTCACTCCCAGCTGCTACTGGATACTCCTGGATACTCCTGGAAGCTCCTGGGAGGGTCCAGGAGGAGCTAATGGAAAATACTTTCGGAGACCTGAGAAATAATGAGAACTGAATTGATGGGAAAGTCTGAAAATTGAATAGGAAAGTGAGGGGAAGCCTTGTAGCATTGTTATTTTCTGCTGTTCTGATTTTTCCCGATTCTTCTTGGTCTCATTCCCAGCTGCTCCTCAATACTCCAGGAAGCTCCTGAAAGCTCCTGGGAGGGTCCAGGAGCAGCTGGGAGTGAGACCAAGAACAATCAGGAAAAATCAGAACAGCAGAAAATAACAATGCTTACAAGGCTTCCCCTCACTTTCCTATTCAATTTTCAGACTTTCCCATCAATTCAGTTCTCATTATTTCTCGGGTCTCCGAAAGTATTTTCCATTTTTCTCCATCATTTCTTCCTCAATTTTGCAAATAATTATATGTCCTGAAAGCACTTTAAAGGCACTATAGTTCCTGAATTTTTTTTTTGATTTTTCCCTAAATTTTTTTTTTCAACTTTTTAGAGACCAAAATTTTCCTCCCACTGCTCCTGGCACATTACATACTCCTCACCACTCCCAGCTGCTCCTGAACCCCCTCCCAGGAGAACACTATTGGCTCCAGGAGTGCCCAATCTGTTGTTTTGTCTCCCACATGCTCCAGCCACTCTTGATGCTCCGGAGCATAATGGACTTTTGCTGATGTCTGAACACCCACCAAAGCGGCACTTGTGAGGGACCTTAACGTCGGCAGAGGCCGGCGATTGAGTTCAGGTGGTTAAGGGACTCACGAAATCTTAGGGTGATCGAAAGTCGCTGAACCAAAGTCGAACTCGATATTACACTAGGGGTGTAAATACAAGATCTCTGCTTTTCCTATCTACTAAGGTTCTAGCTTATATACGGTTCTCTATGCTTACAGTTGCCCTCCTGCGATGTTGGCAACTTGCATCTACGAATTAGAGATTTGTAAGGAGTGGTAACCCCACCCTTCATTCATTATCTTATTGTATATTTGTCTCGACTTAAACATGTATAAACAATGTATATACAATAACATGGGGATTTGGGAAAAGGAACAGAACTCCTTTTCCTCCCCATCGTTGATAATTAAAGCTCCATACAGCTCAACTTTATTGACAACCTGAGGATTGAGGAGAACTGGGGTTGGAACCTACACCAACCCCTTACAGGATTAGTTGTTAGAAGCCATATATAATACTAAAGATAAAGGGAACAATAAAATAAATTCAGAACCTGCACTTACTGTACTGGCATGACCAACAACCGGTCACGCGTCACATGAGGACCTTGGATTGAATTGAAAATCAACACGATTGAATTGATTAGCAGCCTCCGGCAACTCCCGGAGGCCGTGGGAACTGGTTGTTGGTCGTGCCAGTACAGTATGACAAAGTCTAGACATTCTTTGGAGCTGAAGAGCTTGCCTCAGCCACTCCTTCGGTGGTGTCGACTGAGTGTTCTGTCTGTAGTGTTGCCATTGAGAGGTCATTCATATGGCCGATAGTGCTTGAAAGTGAAGGGGATGCTGGCGTTACAATGCTTTTCCTTAACAGGTTTGTCTCTCTTGGGCGTCATTGACTCGCGTTTCGATGCCTTGTGCCTTGTTAGTCTGTTCGATGCCAATCCATTAAGGACCGTCTTGGAGTCCATGTGTCTGTCAAATAACTTGCAAGCTTGAGTTGTTAACTCATCTGAATTGTCGTTCTCACTGTCTTTATCAATGACCTTCGATTGGCATGGTGTTGGTGGTGTGGGCGAAAGTACCTCGCGTCCTTTGCCTTTTTCAGTAGATGTGGATGCTCGAGCCATCTGAGTGCCAGTAGCTGAGTATATTCGAGCAGTTTCAGCGTCAGATTGGGTATCTGTCCATAAGTCTGGAGCATACAATTTGGATTCGTGCTTCACCACTAGGTCTCTGAAGCAAAGGATCTTATTGAGAGTGTCGTCCAGCATCGCTAAGATATCTGACAATGAGAAAGATTTCTCACTGAATTGTGCATATGGGTCAGGGGGGTTCTGGAGGGATATGGGGGTGAAGGAACGTTCTGGGTTCTCTTGTCCCGTTAGATAAAGATTGTCTTCATTGACTATAGACATGTCTTCCTCTTTGTCTGAGAGGCAGTCTTCAGACAATCTGTCACTAGATGTTCCATCTGCGCTGCTGGTACTTATTGTGCTGTAGGCATCTGTGCTGCGGTTATTCGTGCTGCAGGTATTAACGGGGCTAATCCCTGGAGCTGCAAGTTCTGCGCTCTTCAAGCTTGGGAAGCCACTTACCAGATCTATCTCGTATCCGTAGTTCTCATCAGCTTCCCTGACACTTAGCTTGACTTCTAGTGTCACCACTAGCATGTCCTGTTCATTCTGTATCTCAGGAGAGAGCTCGGCAGCTTCTGCCAACAGGCTCCCATTGTGCATGGAAATTTCATTAGTAATTGTTTCGGGTGCCAATGTATCGACTGAGAGAGATCGGCCATGTCGGCTTACCAAAGGCACGTAGCCACGACCACTCCTAAGTCTCATCATCTAGTTGCAACTAAGTCGTTAGAGGAGGTGAAGCTTAAGGTGGCCAGCCTTAAGCTGGGAATTTGGAAGTGAGGGTTAGATTGGTTTAGATCGGTGTAGATCGAGAGTGTGCAGGTAGCGAAAAAATGTGAGGGACCTTAACATCGGCAGAGGCCGGCGATTGAGTTCAGGTGGTTAAGGGACTCACAAAATCTTAGGGTGATCGAAAGTTGCTGAACCAAAGTCGAACTCGATATTACACTAGGGGTGTAAATACAAGATCTCTGCTTTTCCTATCTACTAATAACAGGTTCACGTGCCCACCACTACCTCCTACATCTCCCTACCACAGCCAAGAGTGGGTGCCACCCCACCGCAGAGGTCCTTACACCAGACGCGGTGTGCGCGGATGAAACAAATACTGTAATGTTGGGACGAGGCCTACTGAACGACACACTGACAATGCGGGACCTAGTGGTGGAACCCCAACTCCAACCCCAACTCCCTACCCATTTGCGAACACAGACAACGTGCCAATCGACCCCAACAATCTCTTTGTGAATGCGGAATATGTGCCAGTGGTACAGAACCACATGACGTTGAGAGTGCCCAAAGCTTCAATGTTCGTCCCTCCTTCCTCATTTTTAGCCAAACACCTAACCCTGTCGGACCCCTCTGATGATGATGGTGACAGTAGTTCTTCTTCATCAAGTTCATCAATAAGGACTAGTACCATACACACAGATGACTCCGAGTTGTTAAAACTAGGGAAACTGAACAGGTTGAGTCTGAAGAATGACACAAGCCTACTTATGAAATTGCTCAAGAAAGGAAAGCAATCTAGCCCACACATCAAGGTCAAGGGACCTGAACCATATAGCAGTGAGGCCAATTACGACAAGTTTGAAGTCTGGTTCGCCAGCATAAAGACCTACTTTGAATTAAACAAGGTCCACAGATGGGACAAGGTCAAACACCTCCAACATATGTTAAGCAGCAAGGCCGCTACCTGGTACGTGTCCACAATTGCATTGGAACCATGGGGCTGGACACTCACCACAGCTGTGAAAGCCCTCTTTGACAAGTGCTTTCCACCAGAATTCCACCAGATCCAACGTGATCGCTTTGAGCGATGGTCCCAACATAACTCAACAGTCCAAGAGTACATTCAGGAAATGGGTCGTATTCGGAAAAGGATAAATGACATTATGGATTGACAATTCATACAACGTGTATTCAATGGATTAGATCAGTATTACCATGTAAAGTTATTGGATTATGGCTTTAGCCCAGACATTGGCACAATAGAAGAACTTAAGGTTATAGCCATGAATGCTGAACAGGCAAAGAAGATGATGAAGTATGAGGAAAGTCGTAAGAGAAACCAAAATCGCCCAAGTGAACGCGAAAGAGATAAGTATTTGTCCAAGAATCAGAAGAACCAGACCAAGGAAGGTAAATGGTCTGAAAAGGATGACAGAGCTGTGAGACAGAATGACAACAAGAAAGAAAGAGAAAGCGAGAAGAAGTCTGGAGGGTGTCATATCCTGGAATCCCGACCCCGCGCACTCCCACCACACCACACCTTCCTAACAACTCCACCATCCCCTACACCATGCCTCCCCACTCCCCAAGTCACCTTCCTTCCTAACTGTCTCAGCTCCGGCCTGGTTGCAGCACACCGAACCCTGGCCACTCCCATCCCGGAAGCTCGGTCCCAAGTCGGAACATTCAGAGACTCCGGATTTGCTCCGATATCCTGATGGACCTCTGACATCCCGTGACATACCCCTAAACCATTTCTCCACCCATTTCATTTATTGGAGTCACCCAACATCCTTTGGATACGCAACTCCACCTTCGGAGCTACCCGCATCCTTCGGTGACCCCACTCATGTCATCACTTATTAGTCACCTTCCATTCATAGCACGACTACCTTCTTCTTACCATTCAGTTGGCTAACCCCCTCTTACCCATTTCTCGTTCCCATTCATTTTCCGGCCTTTTACTCTGCCCTCCTCGACCCGACACCTCGGTTCCCCGTTAAGAATATCGTTCGGGACCTTTCGGTACCTCTCGGTATCATTTGGCACCTTTCGGTGTTCTTCTATTATCAATCGGACTTTGACTAAGTCCTTTCCATTCCCCCTTATAAATACCTGTAGATTAGAACCTGTAGTTTTCCTCAGTTCTAATCTCGACTAAAATGCTACCCCAAGTCCCTCTGAGTGAATCCCGGCCCATTTCTACAAGATACCTCAGACATGAGAAATAAAGGACTAACTGAGACGTAATGGAGGCACAGTGCTCCCTCCGAGTCACTGAGGCCATGTCCTTCTTAGAGCCTCTTGTACCATCCAGCAGAACCAGGCTCACTGGAGAAGCTTCGGTCCACTACCGGAGCTCTCGGACCCCCTCTAGTTGAGCCCCACCTGCATTCGGACTCACGCATTTTCCCCTATGATCCGGGTTTTTGACAGAGGGCGCAGACCCAAGTCGTCGTGGACCAGGCTATCCAAAGAAGAAAGCGAGGAGCTGAGAGCCAAAGGCCTGTGCTTCAACTGCAAACAGGCAGGTCACCTAGTGAAGGACTGTCCTGTGACTAAAGGAAACCCAAGTGTGAGCATAAACACTGTAAATGTGCAGAGCCTAGAAAGTATGATAGAAATAGAATCACTTACCAGACTGCTACACTCGATGAGTGCATCCACTGAGAGTGTGAAATATGTCCCAGTTAACACAGCCAAGCCCAAAGGACCTAAGCTCCGAATGGAGGGTGCCTGATTGTCAGACGGTCTTGAACGTACCACCGCAACCCCAAAGGATGTAACACGCATACTACCCAAGGGAATGGTAATTAAGACTTACATTAATGGCAACGTTTGCCACACTCTCGTGGATTCTGGCTCATTAGCTGACTTCATCTCCACCTCTTGTGTGGACCAGCTGAAGCTGCCGACAACGAAGCTTTCGACAGTGCTTACAGTACAGCTGGCCATCACCAGTTCCAGAGTTAACGTGCAACTTGAGACAACAGTGACGTTGTAGGCAGGATAATCGCCCATGCACAGCACCGGCTCGGATACCCGTTTCCACGATTAGAAAACCCCTTTTATTCATGCGACGAACTCGGTACGGAATTGGTATCTAAAAATAGTGCTAATTCGTACGATTCCGACGATATCAAGAACGTCTTAATCGGAGGAGATTTGATGGAGTTCTATGTTGGGCAAGTTAGGCACAGGCATGTGCGGGCGTGGGAATCTCAAGCGGCAAGAATTCCAGCCTCACTCATTCCCACGGCGTCTAATAAATTGGTAAAAATGTTTATCGGCTGTGTGAGAGTTATTTCCGGCTACATTTCCAATTTCGGCTCATAATTCCGTAAATCCATTGAGATATCGCTTATTTTCTTTTATTTTCATATTTCACCATCATTTCAGTTATTGATTGATATTCTTTTATTGCTGCTGTTACCCTTTTTATTATTTCGCCTGATAAGGTACCCAGGTGCCATATGGTACCAATATTCCCCATCTATTCTTTCTAAAAATAATTATTAGATATAATCCTGCACATACCGGATTTGTAAAAAGAAAGTTCTCCCCTCCCCCAAAAATTCTCTAAGGTGCTAGGATGCGCTAGAGTGGGTGTGAGTGAGTGGAATTCCAACAGTAGGAATAAGGGCAGCTGTCTAGCTCACAACGAGTGAGTAGTGGACGCTGAGCCCGGACCTTGCGGATATCCCGGAGAACTCACCATGGAGTTAAGGATCGAGAGTCGAGTAAAGTCTAGAGAGAGAGTAGAGGTTTTGGAGAGTTTGGCCCCACGAGCTTAGTCAGCATAGAGAGCCGCAAGCCCTCTTGCAACGTTCAGATACAAAAATATCGATTGCAGAAAACGCTTTGACATTATGAACCTTCATGACTACAATGTGATTTTGGGTACACCGTTCCTGTATCAACCTTCGGTACTCCTTGGACTGAATCCACTGTTGGAGTTACAACAACACGTGACTCACTAACCAAACTCACATGATCTTACTTTTTGTTTCTGTTGTATTGATACCATGACTGCATTGTATATAGGTAATTGTTTGGGTCTATTTTCTTTTTCCCCTCAGTTCTTCATTTACGGAGACTGAGCTTCCACATTAGCCCTCCTATTATCCACCATGTTTGCATATAGGCTCAGCAACGCCAGAAGCATTAAAAGGAGAAGACTCCGTAGTGATCCCATCACTGAGATCGGTAATGATTGAAAGGGATTTGGAAAAATTAAGGGAGATGCTGAGGAACGAGGCAGCTGAGCTTTGTAAACCATTTGATGAGACTCTGTTATCACCTCTGTGTCAGGGCACACACCCTGACTAGCCTGGACCCGGACCCACGTCCGGACCTGCTTCCACCTGCCGTGCTTCCCACATGCTCCACACACCGCATGCTCCGGGCCCGATTCCTACCCCTTCATGTGACTTCCGGGTATCCCTGGAAGTTTTGCTGATATTGTGGCCACTGTGGGAAGATGAGAAGTTAGCTTCCTTCTCATCTTCTTACCCACAGTAGGATTGTGCCCTGGATAGGGCTGGCCAGACCAGAGACTGTGGACCATAGGGGAGGGTCATGGGGACCTGGGAGTCGTCCCCTGACACTCTGCGTAATATCAACCATCAGATCCCGCTGAAGGATGAAAGGAAGATATACAGGTTCAGATGAGCTATGTGTCCCGAACTCTTACGTCCTTTGTGGGAAAAGAAACGAGATATAATGCTAAGATCTGGATGATGGGTATACTACAATGGTACTAATGGCATGCCTTTGCTGGTCCTCAAGAAGAAACCAGGGCCGAATGGAGAAGTTCGCATCTGGACAGTAGTAGATAAGTGCGAAATCAATGAGAACACTGTCCCAAT